CATTATTTTTGGATTATAAAACAGCCTGAAGTCAGAGAGAGAGAAATCCTATCAAGTGCATATAAACAAATGCAATTTGTTACAGCTCAACTGATGACTGACATCTAGAATCCAGAATAAATGAGCAGCCCCTTTGTCCTGAGGGGAACTCACTTCCCAGCAAACAAGCAGATAATCAGCTGTCTTTCCTAGCAGCCCAATAATAAAAGTTGGCCTCTTAGTTTCAGAAGTCCTTTGGAAAAAGGAGGTTTTGTTTTCCACCAGAAAACCATCCCTAGCCCTTCTCCTTTTCGCAGCTCCTTAATTACTCGTCAGGATCCTGTCCTTCTGCAAGACCTCAATTAGTCTGACCCAGAATGTCACTAGTGAGTGGGCAGGTTTTTCTCCCTCCTCCGCCCCTGAAGAAATTTAATCCCTCCACTACCAAAGTGCTCCAGAGCACACTGATGAGCAGCATGCGCAGAAAGGCATGGAGAGAGATGACATTACAGCAGAGCAAGATAAAGACCTGAGTGACCAGCAGCAGAAAGAGAAGCTTAGGAGAAGCTAAACAGGACCCAGTGTAAGACAAAGGATGTTGAAACTGCAGAAGAGGAAGGCTACAAAGAGATGTATTTTAGTTCTCCTTTCAAGCTCGTTACCAAACTAGGCTAAAAACTGCACAAGAAACTCAGACTTATCAAAACCGTTGCAATAAATTTGATTTAGAAACTAACTTAGTTAAGCCTCATGCCAAGCTCTCTGGAGGTCCTTCAGAAGACTCGCGGGGCAGCAAGCGAGGCCTCTGCCACGCTGCCTACAAGCCCAGCAAGCACCCGCGAGCTCGCTCCATTCGCACTAAACGCTCACACACAGTGCAAGTGAGTAGAACGCTGTTCTGAAGTTTGAAAGGAGGCTTGAAATGCTGGCTAAAGTAGTGATATGAAGCAGAAGCTGTTATTGGTAATTATGGTAGATTAACCCTTACTACTTGGTCAGTAGTTGTGTGTGTTAGCAACTCCCAGTGCCACAAACAGAGCCGCGCCTCTTGCTTCAAACCTGCCGTTCTGCTATAACCCAGCACAAAAAGAGCAACCCCAAGGCCAAAATCTAAATACACTTTCCTGAAAATGCTGCTTTTAACGACAGTTGTAAAACAAGGAAGAAGCTCATCAGAGCACTGAAATACATGAACCGACAACCCACTTCTTACTTTCAGGCTAACAGACCATTAATGCTAATCAAGCACGGCTTGCAAATACATAGCTAGACCTCCCCAGGCAGGCCGAGTTCCACCTGGCAAACACCAATTTCTAACCTCCATTTATAAGCCACCTACAGCTTCCTGATACCTAACCAGAATAAAAACATATTTAGCTAAATCCTAGCAGTAGTTTGCAAAAGAGTTTTGTGCGTTAGAAGAAAAAAAACAACAACGTAGTAAAGCAAGGCCTTATTCCACGTTGATGCGCTGCTTTTCCAGCCCCTCCCGTACGCAACCAGCAACACCCCAGCTTCTGCTGCACAGTGTTTTCCTAACCTCCCCCTAGACGGAGGCGCAGCGGGAGCAGAGAGCGAGCCGAGCCGAGCCGAGCCGTGACACGGTCATCACGTGGGGGTGACGCGGCACCCTCGCCACACCGCTCCACGCGATCAGGGCTGCCCTTCCCGCGTGGGGGAAAGCCCGTTCCGGTGTAAACCCCGCGGGGGAAGGGCGGCGGGCCCCGCAAGGAGGGCTGCCGCAGCTCCCGGGCAGCGCTATAAAATAAAAGCGGTAAAACGCAGCTCCGCGGAGGTGCCCGCGGGGCGCGGCCAGCCGCCCGGCACCCGGGCCCGCCCGACCTGTTGCCCGGGGAAGGGGCGGCCCGGCCCGGCCCCCCCGCCCGCTCACCGCGCTTGTTCTTGGTGCCGTGCTTGCGGGCCGCCGCCAGCTCCTGCTCGATCTTCTTCTCCAGGAACTCCTGCTTCTTGCTGAGCATCTCCTCCGTGTCGCGGAGCCGCTGGATCGCCTCCTGCGGGGACGGGCCCTTCCCGGCGCCCTTCCCGCCGGCGCCCGTCCCGAACAGCTTCCCCAGGAGCCCCGACATGGCTGCGCCGCGCCGCCGAGGCCGCGGTGTGAGGCGGGGGCCGCGAGGTCGGCCGTAGAGCACCGGTACCTGCGCCCCTCACTCCGTGGTTCCCTCACAGACCGTCCGTCCGTCCGTCCGTCCGTCCGTCCGCCAGCACGGCCCAGGCCGCCGCACCCCGCCCGCCGCCCCGCCTCAGCCCTCGCTCGCCACCCCCGTGCCGCATACAGCTCCCGGCGTGCCCCGCGCCGCCGCCCCGCGCAGGCAGGCGGCAGCCTCCCGCAGGGCCTGCTGGGAGCTGTAGTCACGGCGCGGCGGGCAGGGCGGGAGCTGCGGGCTCCCGAGCGGAACCTGGAAGCGGCGTCACGGGGCGCGCTGACGTCAGGGGCTTGGTGACGTCGACGGGACAGTGGCCTACGGAGGCGGCGCCATGGTGGGCCCGGCCCGGCCCGGCCGCTGCGGCGCCGGGAGGCGGGAACCGGGGCGGGACCCCGGCCCACGGGAGCTGAGACTGGCGGGGAGAGGCGGCTGGAACCGCGGCTGGGGCTGGACGAGGCGCGGGCTTGGAAGAAAGCGGGCAGCCAGGGCCACGGGTGAAGAGACTAGCGTGGGAGCTTGCCCTCCCCAGCCATCGCGGCCCCCGAGCCGCCCGTCCCCGCCCTGCGTGGGTGTGGGTGCGAGTCCCCGAGAGCCGCTGCCTCGCCCACGCAGCGGGGAACAGCACCCTCCTCCCTTAGCGTGCCCCTCAAGCCCCGGCACCTGCGCGCAGCCCACCACGGTGTCGAGACAAAGTGTGGTGACGTTTCTTTTTTTTAAGAACTTGATAACTTTACAAAATCAAGTATTTAAATCCAGAGGCACAGCTGCTTAATTAGTGGTGACTACGTGTGAGTGCCTTATTTCCTGGACAGTTGAGTCACACGTTCCGGTTTGTGGAGGCACTCTGGACGTAATTCCATGCTATATGACCACAGGAACTAGTTACAGAGTCCAAAGGCCAACAAAGAAATCGAGTCTTAAGTGCCTCAGCCTGGAACCAACCTTTACTGGACACTTTCGAGTTTTGTTTCTTTGTGGCTCTTGGCCTCTATCATCTGTAAAAGTAATAAACAGCCCCCTCTCCACTGACAGGGGTGTTGTGAAAACAAGTTAACTAATAACAGACTCAGACAATAATAGTGTTTACCATTGGAAATCACCCAAGAAAATTAATCACTGCTTTTGAGCAGGGTTGGACTAGTTAGTGCTCTGTAAAACAGGCCAGGATATACATACCAAATGGCAAAGAGGAAAAAAGAACCAAACAACTGCTTCTCAGGCAAGAGAACCTTTTCATGCCCTCAGTAAAGGGGGAAAAGGCCCCGAACGGGCTAATACAACTAAAGACAGCCTCCTTGTGCACAAGGTGGGAGTTCAGCAACAAAGCTGTCTGATGGCTCTTGCCTCACTCTACCTTGCTAACATCGTAATAGCAGATACGGAAGAAAGACCCCCAAAAATACACAAGGAAAATCCACAGAGGTAGGCAGGAAAACCCCCCTCCCAGCTGACAACATCAGAGGCTGGAAGAGTAGAGGGGAGGTAGAGCTTTTACCTGCTCTCTTCTTACTCTCACATAAGCATCTGCTGTTAGAAGCGAAGGCTGAGCACCACAGACCTTTGTTCTGATCCAGTACTGGCTCTGGTTCTCCCACGGGATGGCTCTGGCCCTGGGCTGCTCCAGGGAACCTCCAGAAAATGCCCCGATGCTTCTGACAGTGGTGGTGTAAAGAAAACAGTTGTACCCAGGATAGAACCAGGCTTGTGGAAAGGTGCTGGGACAAAATTGGTGCCCTGAGCAGTTTAGATACACCTCAGCCCACAATGATTTACACCATGGAGTAAAATTCTGGGTGGAATTCTTCCCTTTCGGCCAGGAGGAACTAGAAGAGTTTGTGCACATCTTAACTGACTCCAGGTTTGCAGAGGAGTTTAAGCAGCTGGACAAGACTGGGACAGGGAGGAAGAAAGAGGGTTTCTGAAGTTTGTGGCCTGCTGTGATGAGGCACGTTCCCTACACAACTGGCCCCTACGTACTGAATAGTACAGAGGATTGCATGTGATTTCCCGGGCCTTAGTGATAGCATTGAGTCTTTAAATTAAATTATCTTTCCTGTGACATTTCCTTCCATGTCAAAATTTAAACTGCAGGCAGTACAGCTACAGAGGAGAGGGGAGTTTTTTGTTGTTTTAAATAACTGCATTTTTGTTTCCTTTCCACAGAAAGTGCAGTGAGGCTCCAGGAGCACCTACCCAGCTCTGTGGGGGCTGCCAGGACCTGCTGTTGCTCCTGTGCAGCCAGCCCAGCTGGGAATTGAGGGACAGTGGCCACCACACTTGCAGGCAGTCACCCATCCTTTCCTCTGCCAGTCCCCCTGGGCCTGCAGCACCCGTCAGACACACGTAGGACTCAATATCCACAGAGCCTCCACAGGCAAGAGCTGCACACCCAGCCAGCCCGGCCTCTCTTATTATCAGGAACTTTTGTTATCTTACACATAATAGCTCTGAGGTTTACTGTAATAGGACAATCACTATGCTCAAGATAAAACTTAATAAAACTTATTTTGGTTCAGCGCTACCACACATGCAAACATGTACCAAGCAAAGAGCACGGCGTCTTTCAGCCCGCATGTCCCACAGTCACAGGCTGTTTAGAGGCTCTGCTTCCACTCCTTGAATTACACTCAGCGTAGCCAGTGGAAACCAACTTCCAGCATCTCATTTAGACTGGCTGGCTTGTGCGCAGGGCTGGTGGAAAGCAGGGGCCAGAAAGGAAGGGCTAGGCCTCCAGAGGGTGCCTCCGAGCTGAAGTAGTGCTGCACCCGCACATCATCCTCCCAAAATAGACCCGAGTGCAGCGCTGCAGCAAGCGCCAGAGACCACATAATGACACCGTACGGTGTGGGCACAGAGGGGAGGAAAATAGGAAAAGTATATTTAGCAAACTATTTCCTGATACTGTTCCCCTCCTGTGAGAGCTAAGTATTTAAAACAAACATTGTGGGCAAATAAACTCGTCCTTCAAAGCAGACAAGACATTTCACAGAAGCACAGAAACAGGCAAGGAGGAAGGGCCATCTGGAGGTCTCCAGCCCAGCCACCTCCTCCCAAGCACACCCACTCAGCTCAGGATGCTCTGTTGGAGTATCACCAGGTACTGAAATCTCACAGCCTCTCCGTGGCCCCCTTCCTTTGATCACCCTCTTGGTATAATTTTTTTTTTTTTTTATATCGAGTCAGAAGTTACCATGTTCCAACACGTCCCTGTTGCCTCTTGTGCTGTCCCTATGCACCTCTGAAGAGTCTGGCTCCACCTCCTCCGCTCCCGCCTGTCAGGCAGCTGTAAGCAGCAGCAAGACCTCTCCTTAACCTCTTACAAAGCCCGAAGAGCTGAACAATCCCCCTGCCCCAGCCTCCCCTTGTAAGCCTTGTGCTCCATTTCCTAACACCCTCCAACAGCAAGAGGTACAGAAGCATCACAAAAAAAGTGAAAAGGGCAAAAAGTGAGTTAGGAAAATGAATGAGCAAAGCAAAGCAAGACCCATCCTGACAGGAAAGGGTGACAGTCTCCCAGCGTAATCCATTGTTAGAGTGGGTGCAGCATGGGAGCACACGCCGCCAGGAGGAGATGCCACGATGGGCACGGCACCAGCATGCTGTCTCTGCAAACTGTTATTCTTAAGATTTGAGCAAAATACACTGGAAGGAGAAAGGAAGAGGACCTTGAGGTCAAGCGATGGGCTGGAGCTCGGGCAGGCCTCAGGGTCAGGCTGGTCAGAGCAGTAACGCTGGGCTGCCGGCTCCAGCGGCCAGAAACACCCACCGTTTCCCAGACGGCAAGGCAGGGGACTCTGCAGCCAGAGTTTCAGCCCCCAGGACTGACTGACAACCCACACTCTGCTCTGCACCACCCCCGGAGAAACAGGCTGAAACGCAGCATTTCGCATCTACAGACAACTTAGCAGCTCATCACACAAATTTACCCGGGAAGGCTCAGATCGGCTGGCCTACACACGGAGCAGGAAGAAAGCCTGGCAGAGCAGAGCAACCTCCTCTACCAGCATTGCACAATGGTATTTTCCATCTCCTGAGTTTGGTGCTCCCATGCTGGTTTTGGCTGGGACTCGAGAAATCAGAGAGGAGAAGCCAAGCGGACAAGAGAAACCGTCCCACTCACACCAGACTTTCTTGCTACCCAACCACACCGACTCCTCAGCTCCCAGTGACCCACTGGAACTCCTAACACCTGGCCCATAGAACTGAGCTGAGGGAATGCACTGGCTGGGAAGAAGCTGAGAGAGAGGAAGTGCACAGAAGTACCCTGAAGCACCTAATCCAGAGCCAATGCTAAAAATCTGGCCCGTGGATGCATCACGCATTGCCTGTGTGACTCTGGACAGGTCATTGCTCCCCCTTGCTGTACACAGAAGGCGTCATATTTAACTGTCCCAGGGATTGGCTCACTGGTGTCTAAGGCACTTGGACATACTTAAATATGGAGAAAAAACATGAAAAGGACAAACACTGTGGAGAGAATACCAGCCAGAGAGCAGAATCAACACGCACACGTGCTCCCACCCACTGACTCCACATGACACAAGGTCCACAGTGTTTATAACACATGTAGTACAGACTAGGTGATCTTTCTACTGATAAGAGACAGAGAAGAAAGATACCATAGATAAGTCTATCAGGGTATTTCCAAACAGTGTTCCCAAAGGATCTCAGGATGAACTTGCTTCCACTAGGAAGGATCAATTGTTTGCTCTTGGAAAGGCCACCCAAATACTGGGCAATACAGCTTTTAGTCCAGAAAAGCCACAGATGGGACAGGATGTGATTTGCAAAGCCACCTGATTTCAGCAGCTCTGTTTGTTGCAAGTTTGTACGCTCCTTCTTCTTACCCTGATTCAGGGATCTGAGTTTTTCTTGCCCTAAGCTGACCAGTGATGCAGAGGGACAAGAAATAATGGAGCCATCCTCTTCAGTGCCTTGTGGCTGTCAGTGGCTTCCAAGCAGTTCTCTGCCCAAGGATGGGAAGAACAAGTGGAGATGAAAGGCATTCTCTCCCATATCCATCCGCCTCCCCGCAAGAGCTTTGGTCTTTTTCACTGGGATAAATTTCAGCACCGAGTCTGACAGCCCCAGCAGCAGCCCTCAGCCACACAGTGGCTCTACGCATTATCACTCTGTCGTTTGGATGTAAACAGGGACAGCCAGCATGGTGCAGGGGCCGTCGGAGGCAGTCTGCAGTTCTGCCAGGGCCAAATCGGGCGCGATGCTGTTGGGCTGCCCAGGAACGACAAGGTCTGAGTCAGCAGCTCCTGACCCACCAACCACGATGGACAGGACCGCATCCGACTCCGGGAACGGTTCTTTGTTGGGGCCACCTTCGGGGGGGCTTTCCCCCGCGGCACCGTCCTTCAGCTCTGCCAGACCCAGCTGGTTGGGGAGGGAAAGGCCCGCTTTGCGCCCCCGCGCCACCCGCTTCTTCTGGGGCTTCCTGAGCTGCAGGTCTTTGTCCTTGGGTGAGCCCAGCCGGCACTTGTGGTCCTTCATGTACTTGTGGCGCGTGAAGCCTTTGCTGCAGGTGGGGCAGCGGTATTTGTAGTTGCCGGTGTGCGAGCGCTGATGCTCTACCATGTGGGCTCGTCGGCTGAAGGACTTGTTACAGTACTGGCACTTGTGGATCTTCATCCCTGCACAGAGCATGGGAGGGGAGAGAGCTGTTAGAGACCCTGCATCCTAATGCAGATCTTCTGGAAAATCTGCATCGCCCTGAGGGAGCACATGGCAGCTTCACCTCCTCTTCCAAGGAGATGTTCCCTGATAAAAGCCTGAAACAGCCACCTCCTCATCCAAGCAGCCCCATTCTTTATTCAGCTTGCTAATTAAAACTAACCAAAAACCCCATGGTCTAAGGAGACCCCAGGTAAACTTGCAAGAAAAGGGTGAGCAGCTACACTGTGAATGTCCATGTTTAGGAAAGGCTAAAACAACAGTTCTTGCCTCAAATAAGAGGATTAAAATATCACCAGAAAAAAAAATGTCAGGTAATTGTGATGAAAATGCAAAATGGTGTTAAAGTCTGCCTTTTTTTAAGTGTATTCAGTAAGTAAAAAAAGTTTCACTTTTTTTTCTCCCAAGTCTGACACAAACCATCCATCGCACTGTCAGCACAGTCCCATCTGATTGCACTCTGCAGGGCTTTGGACATGACAGGCATGAGAAAAGCCTTTCAGTTTTACCCCAAGAGACAAATGTCACAATGTTCCCTATGGCATGGGAATAAATTACGTGTCTTTATTAGGAGTGGGAGCATTGTTTTGGAACACAGAGAGAAGGGAATCAAATCCCAAGAGATCTCCTTTTGAACATGAGATGGTGTTGGGGAGGAGTAGACAGAGCCCTCTGGATATTCATTTGATAGCACACACACCTGCCTACAGATTTACATTGCCTCAGTAAACAGCTCAAAGCTTAGACACAACTGTAAATGCAAGCTTACTTAAACAGGCCTGCAGCACCAGAGATAAAAAAAAATCTAAAGCTAATAACTGATATTAAGAATTTAGGACTAAATCTGAGAAACACTGTACCACATGCAGTGGAAAATTCTCTCACAGGGAATTACACAGTAGCTGTGTTAGCTGCACGGTGAGTGGAGGCTGCAGGGAAGCACCTGTAAGGAACATCCTGCACTTCTGCAGGTATAAAGCAGAAGCACTTTCACAGTCTGCCATCTCTTGTTTCTCAGGTTTACTCCTGTAAGATGCTCCTGCAGCACCACAGCAAATCCCAGCCACTTTGTTCCCAACCACTGGCAGCACAGGCAGAGCTGCACTTACCTGAATGGGACAGTATGTGAGCCTTCAGCTTGTCAGGCCTGTTGAACTCTTTATTGCAGCCTGTGTGGCTTCTGTAAAAACAACAAATGCTGGTGAGGAGCATGAATCAGCTGAGGATTGATGTATAAACAGATCCTGGACCATAAAGAGATCCACAACCCTTCTCCTAGCAGCAGCCAGACAGGTCCCTGGGTGCAGTGACGCTAGGAGCTCCACTATTTCACCCCTTCTGGAAAGGGGCAAGAAATAAACGGGCTACTACAGGGACACATGGCTTCTCCTAGATTACACAAGGCCCGTGTCTCACCACGAATGGTCCTAAAAGCAGCAGGTTCAAGATCCTGGCTGGAGACAGAAATACTTCGGAAGGAGCTACAAGGTGGTTGGAGCAGGCAGAAGTCTTGGCTATCTCCGAAGGCCCATGGGTGTGCCATGGATTTGGGGATGCACCTTCTAAACCTGGGTTTCTCTGGCTCGTACATCAGCTCCTATGTTGCCAAGTGCTTTTCGAGACATGGCAGTCAGGCAGAGGCCATCATTCAGGCAACCTTGTGCATTGTGGTCAAATAATATTCCTTCTCTTCCGCAGTGCTGCCCAGGTACAAGCCCCCCAAGCCTTCCATGTAGGCCAGCATTATTTTACAGGCATTTTGATGAACTCAGATGAAATGATGTGGCCGCACAGGAAGTCAGTGACAAAGAACTGGGACTTCTGGGTTCCCAGTGCAACAGCACACAGCATTCCTGCCTCCCCAAGCAGCAGTGGAATGGCGGATGCCACACGTGTACCCTAGGGTACCTGCAGGAGACATTCCTGCCATCCCAAACCCCATCCCAATTGCATTAAGACATGCTGCCATGCTGGAGACACGCTACGTACGAGAAGGGACATTTATACTTCTTAAAAGGCTCATGGATCAGCATATGTCGCTTGAGCTTGTCTTTCCGATTGAAAGCTGCATCACACACTGAGCACTTAAAGGGCTTTTCACCTGGATAAAAAAAGAGACTAAGAGTCAGGGAGAGTCCAGTCACACAGGGCTACTCTAGTCACATACAGGATTCACTATGGCAGCTGTGCCACTCTGCTTCTCTATAAACTTCCCCAAGCTTCCCTACCCTGCCTGATGAGTAAATGGATGGGTACAATCCACACTGCACACTGCTCCTGCTCTCCAGGGCCAGCTTCCTCAGCTTCTGCAACCGCGGGCAGTGGGGAAGCCACCTCAGTGTCCCCCTTCTAACTGGTGCAGTACTGGGCCTGAGGCTGAACCAAAACCGTGCATCTCTTGAACCCGTGTTACTACAAATGACTCATACAGTCAACTCTGTTACTCTGGTTATCAGGAAAATAGGCAGGGCATCACAGGACTGGGATGCTGAGATAATGAGCGCTGCAGTGCTGGGGGAGCCCGTACCCGAGTGGATGTGGGCGTGCAGCTTGAGGTAGTGCTCCCGGCGAAAGAACTTCTTGCAGATCTGGCACTTGAACTTGCTGCCCCCGCCGTGCGTGGGGATGTGGCGGCGCAGGTACCTCTCGCAGGGGAACACCTGTTAACACACAGAAATAAGGCTGAGAGCCAGCAGCACACAAGGGACATCACTGAGCCCGCATGGGCATGGGAAGTGTTGGCCTGTATAGAAAGCATACGAAGCTCATGGTGACTGCTTCCTCAGAAAGGACATGCTGAGAAAACCTTCAGTTTTGTATAAGGAAAATACAGATAATTCTTTAAAAAACAAACAAACAAAACAAGAAAAACCCCAAACCTCCTTATCTTTAAGAAACACATACGCTGAAACCTTGCTGCTAAGTTTTTTAACACCATACTGCTGAGGACCAGCACCCCAGATGGATGCCCAGTCTCCCACCAAAGCCAGCAGCAGGACAGGCTGAGCAAGGACCCCCAGTAGTTACTACCTTCCCACAGCGTTCACTTCAATTTCTGCTTCCTGATAATCTGTTACCAAAGGCTCCCATTCATGGTCTTTATAAATCCAGTAGGAATGGTTCCTTTGGCTAACGGGGATACTGGAAATACCCAAGCTAAGTGAATTGCTAATGGGCACACTGCAAACACACATCTGAGAGAAGCACAAGACAGCCAAGAGTTCTGGTACCCAAGACTGTGCTCTCACATCTCCAGAAAACAGCAATATTAGTAAGAATACAAACAGAAGTAAAAAAATGCTACTTCAGATAATGGGCTTTCAAACTCCTATGCTGCACACTGAAAGTCCCACCCAGGCTCAGAAGGGTGTCTGTCATGTGGAGGTGGAAGTGGAGAGAAAATAGGTAAAGAAAGATGGGTTACTAACCATGGCAGGAGTGCGTTTCCCCTTCCTGAGCTACCTCAGTACAGAGTGGTCACTCCTTTGAGATTGTCCCTGACCCCACTGCAGGATTTTCATTTCCTTTGCTATAAACAGAGGAGCAAGGGTCCAAATTTTAGTCTGGATTTCAAAAAATAATTTATTAGAATTCAAAGCCCACAAAATTCTGCCCCTCAAACCCCCTCAGAGGCTGTGCTGAAGGGAGTATTTCCAGCCAAAACCTACCCAGGCATCATTCCAGTCCCAGTCACATCACTCAGACAGGTTTCGCTTTGCCAAGGACACAGAGCACTCATTGAAAAAGAGAGGAATGAAGGGAAACCTGGAGACTTCTGTTGCAAGAGGAGATGAGGCCAGCAGTGGAGGTGTACGAGCTCCTGCAGGACCCAAGGCTTTCCATGCCCAACCCTTGAAGCCATAGGTAGCCAGGCACGGTGGGTCAAAGGCACTGCCACCACTCTGAGACTTCACAAAACCAGCCTTGCTCCTCCTGGTACATTTGCTTTTAAGAAATTAGGACAGCAGCCCAGCGCACAGTCCTGGGCTGTCATGGGAATAAGGGGGCTCCCCTGACAAATTCTGTTCAGCAAACGGGACCCGGGAGAAAGGCCAGCACTGCAGGGAGGAACATACTCTGCGTGCGAGGCCAGAGAGCTGGAAGCCAGGGGTGCAACACCTCTGTCTCTCTGAAAAGCGCCTCATGAGCTTGCCAGTCCGTACTGAGGTAGGAAGGGAGAGGAAAGGGAGCCAAGGGTTCCCGTCCCCCTCAGAGCCCTAGCTACATGTCCAGGACCAGCGCAGGCAGCGGTCACCCACCCACCTTCTGGCAGTGAGGGCAGGGAAAGTTGTGCGTTGCTGTCTGCAGATGGTGCTCCAGGGCTTCCGGGGTGGAGTACTTATTTACACACTTCACACATCTGAATGCGGAGAGAAAGGACAGAGCCTGTGAACAAGGCTACGGCCAGCAAACCCCACACTGCAGGCAGACCCCAGGGGGGACTGCCCAGCCCACTCACCAGCCACCTTCCAGGTTGCTTTCTGACAGGGTCGGTTTGGTACAGACAATACCACCACCCAGGTGCTCTGAAACCTCGGCAACCCACATAATCAGATCACACTCACACTTAGCATCCTTCCTGAGGGGGAGATGCTGGAAAACTGGGTGGAGAAACCTTGAAATTGCTAGTGCTCTTCCACACAGACTCCCAGGGGAGCACCCAGACCTGAGCACATATTCCACATTGCTTCCTCAGGAAGACAAGCCCTAAGTAACGACTTCACCTTACTTCAAACACCTCCTTCCATCTTCATCGCACGAAGACAACAGCTCCCAGTGAAGGAGCCGAGAGCGGGGTTACAACCTAACAGCAGTGTTACTCATGGCTAGGGCAGCCACAAGCCGACACGCTTCCATGTGGGGTCTCTGGCATCTAACAAAGCTTCAGCTCATGTCACACCTCTCCAAAACCACCTAGGCCCTCTCCTCCTAACTCACCCGTTCTCACATACCCTGGCAGTATTTCTGCTGGAGACCTCTGCCAAAGCTGACTGATAATGGGCAATGGGGACATGCATCACCAACAATGAGTACACAGGCACTCACCCCGTGTATCTTCTGTGAAACCTTTTTTCCTTAGATCAGACTAAAACCTCCTCAAACATAAACAGGGTTCTGATCTCAAAGATCCCCACTAGCGAGCTGCAGGATGAGGCTCCGCAGTACAAGGATAGCTAGAAATCATGGTCTGTGCAAGAAGAAGCAGATACTTATTCCATGAAGCTCCAGTATCTTCTGAGCTTCCTACTCCTCCTGTATGTGTCTACAGACATTTCAAAAGCTCCAGAGAGCTCTTTGTGGAACTCTCACCTACCTACACTGGTAGAAAGGCTTTCACAGGTAATAGACCCTTTCACAGCAAAGGGATAGGAAATTTTTTCTGGGCACAGCTTCTACAAGCCACACTCCCTTTGCTGCAGGTGTTTAAGAATCACAGAAAACAGGCTGGGCAGAGGCTTCCCTGGGTCTCTGACCTGGCCTAGTGCAGGTTCAGCCGTGCCCATCTCACTCCTGACTGGTGATAAGAGGACTTGCAGTGATGGAATCTTCCCACGTAACTGATCCCAGCCTTTCACTGTCTTTCTGAAAGGTTCCTTGCATTCCAAGTGCTTGGCCTTAGCAGCCCAACGGAGGGGCCCCCCATTTGCCACCTGGGTGCCCAAAAGAACCATGGCTGCTGGACACGCAGCCCCCTCTTCCCTCGCATGTCCCCACCACTCTCAGCCAAACACACTCTGCACCCACTCACTCCTACAAGCCTTGTGAGCACCGATTGCTACTGTACTTGTACACGGCCATGTCCTTCTTGGGGCTGTGCTGGGGCAGGAGGCTGTGAGAGTACTGGTGGACACCCAGCTCATACAGGGAGGGAAAGTCCTTGCTGCAGAGGTGGCAGCGATAACTCAGCTCCTCCTGGTGACTCTTGATGTGCTCCAGGAAGGACTCCAGCTTCTGGAAGGTCTGAGCACAGGTCTTCACCACACATTTGTACACCTGGGAGAAGAAGGGAGAGCGACTGCAGTGGCACACCATGGAAACAAACAGGGAAAATCCTCTGCCAACAGAGTGAGCGGCTTTCCTTTTTGGAAATCATTGCCACTGGGTCATTTACAGAAAAGGACCACAGCCCCTTGACCCACTGTGCTGGAGAACACATGAGCTGATGTTATGAACAAAGCAGCACTGTGGTTCCCAGAGCATCCCACCATGCCCACAGCCAAATTAGCACTCAGTCAGGGCACAGCAGTGAAACCCTGCCCTGCACTGCAGCAGGACACAGTATTGTGGTAAAACATCCCCTTCCTCAGAGGAAGGGTCTTTAGAGAACAGTGCAGAGCAGTTCAGCATCAAAATGCAGCTGACAGCTCCACGTGAAGAAAACTTGCTGGGAGTTGAACATCTGCAAACACAGATTGTCAGGGCACTCCTCTAAGAAAGCAAGGTGGAAGAAAAGGGTGTTTGTGTGAGCACCTGAAACCACTTCAGGGGGTGAGACCACAACACCCCAGTGGCGACTGTCGCATGACCTGAGAGTGACACCTACACTGAAAACTTTGGACTTTGCTTCTTCTCCAGCCACCCAAACCTGCTGGGCTGACTTCTCACTCAGCAGAGTGGAGACAGCAGAGCTTTTCAAAGCCACCCAGGCCACACAGCTGCAACCCAGACATGCAGAGAGCCGAGCTGCACAGGAAGCACTGGCAGCTTTAGAGAGCAAGAGGCTGAGGACAGACCCTGGGAGCCAGTGCACTATATGAAGCCCATCCCAATCTCACCACTGACACAGGGCACCCTCTGTCCCTACCTGCTCGTTCTTGTGCTGTGTCATGTGCGATTTGAGCTGGAAATAGGTGTTGAATTTGCTGGGGCAGAACTGGCACTGATAAGAACTATCGATCAAGACAACCTGCTTGGCTTCCAGTTTGCCCGCCTCACTCTCCTCCAAGGGGCTTATGTCTTGGGGCGGTGGTGCAGGGTTCCTTGAGGGCTGAGTCAAACCTAGAGAAAGGGAGAAAGTCACAGCCTGCCATGAGACAGCTCTGAAAGCTGCTCTGCAAGCACCGTGATGCTGAGACATAGCAGGCCTGGCTCTGGGTCCAGGCTCTTCATTCCTTTCAAAGACAGATTCTTTTTATCAGACAAATCTCACTAACAGAGTAGTTTTAAATTGGTCTATAGATTATTAAGGGCTCTGATTACTCTGTCTTCCCCTCCTTAACCCATTCCCTTTTTCCAGGGACATAATTGTGCTCTGTGGAGCAGCCAGCAGAACAAGCCTCTGCCGGTGAACCAGAGCCAGATTCACTCCCACCTCTGGCAGGAGATGAGAAGTAAGATCTGGCCAGTAGCTCACAGTCCATGATGTCTGCAGAGAGCAGCTCCAGTGAGGCCTCGTTCTAGACATGGCACCGTCACTGCATTCCCTCACCTCCTACCAGGACTGAGGCCACCAGCAGAAAGGGTATCCAGACACCACCTGCCAGCGAGGAGCTCTTCTCTGTCCCAGGTATTTTCAGTTGGTCACTGGGGCCAGACCCAGCCCAGGCATGACTCGCACACTGCAAACAAGCCAGAGCACTGGGCTACGCTAAACCACCGGCTTGTCTGGCCACTAGACCAGAGCTGTCAAGTGTGGCTCAGGCACTGCCAAAGCTGCACCTGCCAGGGAGTGAGAAGGGGGGAAGACACCTTGCCCTGTCCACACGCACATACTTGCACAGAGTTTGAAGTCACTGTCTCCACCACCACCTGAATCCACCACGGCTGGGGGTATGAAAGGATGCAACTGCCAGCTGGAGTCAAGCAAATGCAACTCGCTTCTCCAGTGCGTGCTGCTAAACCCCACAGGAGGAATGCAAACAGCACACACAGCTCCCGTCTCCCCTCCTCCCTGTGTGGAGGTGCAGGAGCATGCAGGCTCCTCACACCACTGCTCTGCCCCATGCACATGCCAGCCCCAGGCAGCAAACCTGTGTTCTCCTCGTCCTCCGGCTGGTTGGGATTCAAGGCCATGACCTGCACTGTGATGGAGTTGCGGGAGATAGTGCACCCCAGCCCCGGAGGCCACACTTTATGGGTTTGCATGTGCTTCTTCACATTGGACTTCTGGGCAAAGGCTCGGCCACACACAATGCACTGGAAGGGCTTCTCGCCTGTGTGACTGAAGGCAGAAGGCACCGGATCAGCAGCCGGCAGAGGAGGCAGCCCCCAGGCATGGACCGTGGTGGGGTGGCTGCTGCAGGACTGCGCTAGGCACTCTGCTTGGCAGATCAGCACCTGGACCAGCCAAACGAGGGCTCCGAGACCTGATTAACTGCAGTAAGTGGATTGTGAGAGGCCTGGGGAAACAAGCCTGACACCACACAGACAGAACACGTGGTCTGGGGATGGCAAGGGATCGAAGGAAGAAGTGGGAGAGGAAAAGAGCTCTGCAGCAACATCAGAGCATTTGCTGTCAGGGTCTCTGCATGGACCTTGGGGACCCCCTCATTTTCTCAGGAGCACAACCCTTTTCTTCCCTATCACCCTCCCTCCCCTGCACACACATCTCTTCTCGCTGGCAGTCCCCTGGTCTCCCTGAATTTGCTCTCCACTGTCCACAACAGAAAGGTCTTTCTACCCTGCCCTTCTGCTTCAGGAGAAAGAGCAGACTAACACAAGGAGTACGTCATGTGAAGAGTCCAGGCCAGGAAGGGGAGCGAAACCACCACTTGTTCCTTCTCATCTGTCCTGAGTCTGGCAGACTCCGATGAAGATTTCAGCTGCCTCCTGCCAGAGAAAAGCTCTGTTATAAGAGCTCCCTATATAGACACTGAGCTTGGCTTACGGTTTGCTAACACCAGCAAACACAAAGGCTGCAGCTTGCTAGGGAGGGAGAGTAAAAGACAGAGGCAAGCAGTGGAGATAATGCTGCTCCAGTAATCAGGTAACAACAGGCTTGGCTTTCAAAGTCCCATCAGCAAGAAAAACAATTCTCCAGTCCCAGCCCATAATCAGCAAGAAGATTACATCCGTGATGCAGCCTTCACCCCAGCCACTGGAGAGGAGGCGTCCTGGGGTGAGGGGGACAAAGGATCACCTCCCAGAGCAGCACAGATTCTGGGACATGACAAACACAAGGTCTACTGGACTACACAGATTCCCTCAGCAGAGCTGTGCCCACCTCCACCCCAGCCACCCTGCCGTGCCCGGGTTGGCAGCACCATTACCTTCTGATGTGCTGCTGCAGGTCAAAGTTCTTGGTAAAGGCCTTGTCGCAGTAAGTGCATTTCAGCTTGGGGGACTTGGGTTTGCCTGAAAGAGCAAGAGCGAGCACAGGAGTGAGCTCACATGGCACAGCCCTGTCCCACTGCACCACAGGGCCCTCACCCCAGGACATGTCTATTCAGGACCAAGAATAAAGGGCTTATGGAACGATAAGATCTGGCTGGCCAGACTGGGGAGAGGTTATGGCCAGAAACAGAAATTTTAGCATAGCTTGAGCTAACTCTAGAAGTACTAAGGAGAGTAGCAATGGAGGGGGCAGTGCATCCCTTTCAGGCATTAACCACTCCAGGGACTCTTCCAGCTGTGCTGTAAAGCACCTACTTTAAAGGCATGCTGGGCACTGGGAAAAGACACAGGATTAGTGAGAGAAAGGACCCCAGTTCTGTCTGTCTCCTATGAACTCACCAACGTCAGCCATCAGCCAGAGCACATGCATATTTCTCCCATCCAGATCAGTCAGTCATATCTTCTGTCTACTGTGATGGGGTATAAACCAGTGGAAAACAGCAGAACTGTGGGCTGCTCTAGGAAATTTTGAACTGAGAGCTGCAGCCTGCATGATCATTCACACCTCTGCAAATAAGGTTAAACCCTAGCGTCTGTATGGTTGTAACTCCAGAGGCCCAACCTCTCTGGGGAGGAAGGCCGCATGGCTTTCCTCCACCTCACGCCTGGGACCTCCCTTGTCACTCAGCTAGGTGTGCTTGCATCACACCAGCAACGGGCAGGCTCGGCCAGCGGAAGGTCTGACACTCCTCCACCCTGTAATGGTGCACGTCCCTGTCCTGCCTCACCTGGGGACAGGTGTGTTTTCTTCACAGGCATTGAAACACACAGCAGGGACGGGTCAGTTGGGCCCGAGAAGAGAGTCTTGAGGGCCAGGCCACACCTAGCCCACTGGCCTTGCGGCTGGGCAGTCCTCCTTAGGTTAAAACGGACCAAGCTCTAACACCTTACTTTGCAGGATCTCCCCATTTCAGGGGTGATCCAACAAACATGTGGCTGCAGAGATTCAGCACAAGCTTGCCCACGCAATAGCACAGCGACAGTCCTTTCACGTGCGCTCAGAGATGACAGACAAGAAGCATGTCCACACTTTCACCTCCTCTCAATAGATTCGTGCAGGACACTGTGTTCCTCCTCCAGAGCTGCACGCACAGCCACTGCCACCCCACAGGGCCTGGAGAGCCCGTGGCTTGACAGTCCACTACGGTATAAGCACGGTGGCCTACAGGGCAAATGCTATAAGGACACTTACCTTCTTGCAGCCCGCTCTCGTTTCTGCAGCGTCGACTTTTGGCAGTGGGGGTGGAATCAAAACCAACCACACTGCCTCCTCCTGCACTGGTCAAAGGCGTGGGAGCGCTGGTGCTCTTGGACTTGAAGCCCTGCTTCCCAGGGCTGTACACAGGAGGAGAAGGGTACACGGGACTTTCCACACACTGGCTCGGTACCTGCACGAGTGCAATTTATCAGTAGGAACAGGCCCCAACCTCCATTTCTAGCAACACTTGCCACACCAGGCTATTCGTCTGGCTGAGTATTCTGACTCCTGTCAAAATGGATCACATTTCTGGTTCACCCGTCCAACAATGTGCCTCTAACTAAAACTAACACCCTGCACAGTGTCAAACACTTGTGCTGAACATCACGAAGTATCCAGCAGTTATTACAGCAGGAACAGGACAGCAAAGAAACACTGAGGGAGCCATCTAGTCCCTCATATATGTCTTATGCCTAGAAGAGATTCTTCTACCTCCAGAGCAGGTTACCAGAATGATCACTGCTGACCCTGTGGGTTCGCCCCTGCCCTGAAGGCGAGGATCTCCAGGTCCTGCTGCCCGCCCTGGCAGGACTGCAGAAGGGAAGGAAAGCACAAGAAAACTCCGGATGGCAAAGCACAGCTGTCCACATCAGCACCAACATTAGAAAAGGACACTTAGAGAAAAAGACAGAGGCATTTGGGCTGACTACGGATCGAGGGTGTTTCTGTTGCCCACAGTAGCACAGACCACTATGTATTCAACATCCCTGTCCGTTTCTGATTACTGACACTTGCAGATCAGATGCCAGCTACAAAGACAAGGCCGACAAGCCTCTGTCACACCCAGTAGTTTCTGTTGCGAATGGCAATGCTAACATGGAGGCTTCAAACAGCTGACCCACCAGTAAATCCACCCCTGCCTGTGCCTCTCTAGGAAATGCTGCCTTGTCGAGCTCATCAATATTTAGACTATTTTTCTCTCCACCTAAGCCTGCAGTGCACAGCGCGTTGCTCTGGACCTCTCTGGGATGTGAGCCCCTCACCTCAGCTCACTCTCACTCCTAGCACCTCCAGGTATCCCTCGACCACAGCAGACATTCAGGTCTCCTAAGCCAAGTCCTTCATCCCTCTTAACTCTTCCTCCTGTTCTCAGAATCCCCATCATCTTGCCAACATCCTTCTGTTCAGGCCCTTCTTCCAGAGGAAATAATCACTGTCAAAAAACCTAACACATTTTCCCAGACTAATTCCACATCTCCAGCCCGGGCAACTCTTGAGCAGCCTTGCTTGTCAGACGAGGCCCAGGACAGGGCCCCTGCAGCCAGCCGCTGGCCGTACCTCCATGGGCGGGTAGGGCTGCATCCCCAGCGTCTGGATCTCCACCGTGCTGTTTGCTGCCAGAGGAGCAGGCGCGCTGTACACTTCGACCACCCCGCTGCTGCCGGTGCTGGGCTGCCCTGGAGGCCCCATGCTCGGCGGGGGAGGCGGCGGAGGCTGAGGAGGGGGCGGTGGAGGGGGAGGTGGAGGCGGGGGGGGCTGGGAGAGGTAGCCAGCCCCAGCGTGCATACCCAAGCTGCTCTGAAACCAGAACAGAGAGAGACCGACAAGATGTTGAAAATGCGGCAGCGATGAGCTGGAGGGGCTGCTCCCTTACACACGTTCCCAATCCCAGTTCAAAAATGGCACCTACAGAAACAGAGACGATGCCTGCCACAGCGCAGCACTGTCCAACTGCCAGGTCGGACCGGACTGTGCCGGCTTGCAGAGGCTTGGCACGACCCACCAGGAGAGCCTGTCTCCTCCAAAAGCCAAGCACTCAAAACTCTCTCCTTTTTTTTTTGCCTTGTTTTTTAAAGCTTCTAATCCTTCTGGTTACAAAGAACATTTTCAGAGCATGGAGAGTGTATAAGGCCTGGCCAATCCCAAGGAGAGCCCAAAACAACCATCCCAGGAGGAGAGGGATCCACGGAGCAAACTGACAAGGGCTCTGGAAGCCAACCTTTATACTGGGGCTCAACAAAAAGCTGGAGAGACCACATTACAAAGATGCAAGCATCCAGCAACAAGGACACCAGGAGAGAACAGGCCCTGGAGCTACCCTGTCATTTATCCATCGCTCCTTCCTGAGCTTGGCTGTCACACTGGGAAGGTGCTCAGGATCTCTATGGTCGGATCAACCAACAGGGCTCTCCTGTGCAAGCGTGGCCCCCCGCAGTGGGACTCCCCGGGCCCACACGTGCCCGTTTACCTGCGCTGGAGGCGGCACTGTCGGCATGGGCTGGTCCAAGGATGTAAAAGCAGACATGGCCGACATCAGCACCTCATCACTGACTAAGATGTTCCCCTGCACCAGGGTCTGAATCAAAGGTGATGGGGGAACGGTGATGTATGTAGAAATTTGCTGAAAGAAAAAAAGGATGCATTGTTGACCAGCAACAGGACAAAACAATAAACAAAACACGATGACACTGCTTTTTACTGAACCTCAGAGTCTCTGCTTTCACAGCCTCTGGTCAGCAAATGAGCCACAGTTACTATCTACAGCTTCCTGCTGAGTCCATGGTAGTTTCTAACCCTAACAGCAAGGCAGCTCCAGCAACATTCTTTAGAAAAGGAGGTAAAAAGTATCACAGTGGCTCGGGAAAGTGGCCACCAGCTACAATGCAAATCAGAGGATATTAACCAATATCTGCAGGACAAACTGGTCAAGGACAAGTTCAGGCTTTCCCTAGGTGCTTCTCCCAGCTAGGGAAGGTGGAGAACTGAGGAAGGCTGCTCTGCCTGCAGACGGTGAACGTCAGGCTCATCTCTTGAGACTAGAGTTGGATTATAGGAGGGGAGGCAGGCTGTCCCGCTTTCTGGGTGGAAACAACCCATGTTTGCAGCCCTGGGCACTACGTTAACTGGAAAAAAAACAGTTTGTTTGAAAGCACTTTGGAAACCACTACAATTGCAGGCACGGTACATGGCCCATACAAGGGCCTCACTCCTGAGAAGTCTGTTGGGAAGGAGAGTTACTCCAGAGAGGATATTCCCTTAACACTCGTCACACCACATTATGTGGGCTTATTTGCAGGAAACTGAGAGGAAGAATGCAGGGATGAAGCTGCCAGACATTTCCTCCTCTTCTGTTCACAAGCCAGACCACGGCCCAGGGGACAGCAAGAGCCCTTTCACGCTGAGCACTGCGCAGCCTGCACCCAGGGATGTGACCGGCCTGCCAGGCTGTGACACTGGGGCTCTTCAGTAGAACCAAACTCTGGCTGTAGCACAGACAGACACAATATGAAACCCTTCCTGTCCTGAAAAAAGGGCTATCTGACACGCGTGCTGGAAGACACCTCGCTGCAGAGGACCAGTCAGCTTTAACCATAGGTCAAAAGTCAAGAGGATCACAACTGAGCCTCCTAGAAAAGAGGTCAGTCATGAGGCACCGCTGGATTTAAGAGCATCACCCAGAGGTCCCCCCAGCTCCCAAACCCATGGCGACAGAGCAGCAGAGCCTCTGACTGCAGCACAGTACCTGCCGGCTGGCGCTCGGAGCCTGCTGCACCGATGTGATGGAGGGGGTGTACACACTGTTGGTGGCCAGTGAGACCGTGGAGAGGGAAGGGGCATTTCCCTGGCACTGCTCTCTCTTGTGGGTCATGAAGGCAGGCAGTGAGTTGAACTGCTTCTTACACTTCCCACAGAGGAACACATCTTCATCATCTGCAATTAAGAGGACCAGATCAGTGCTCCAGGCTTTCTCCTGCATTCTCCAGTGCTACACCTTACAACCACAGCCATAGGAAAACAGAAACCTTTTGGATCTTAGCACCTCAAGGACATCACCATCAGGAGAGATCAGCTGCAGGGGCCAAACTGTCCCTCCTCCCCAAGCCCAAGCTCTCCCTAAAGCCAACTGATGTGCCTGGACACATCTCAGCCCTGCTCCCATACAGAAAACCCGTCATCTCCCTGTGACAAACTGAACCCTGTTGTCTGTCTTCCCATCTCAAAGACATGAACAACTAACCCAGCCTTGCTCCTGTAGCACCCTCCGCTTTAAGTCAACACAGCTTCTTCCAAAGCACCTGTGTTATGCCAGTTGAGGCAGATTTTATTTCTCAGGTTGCGCAAAGGAAGAGAAGTAACTTGGATCAGGGCACAGAACCAATGGCAGCTTGTGTCCAAAAACAACCCTCCCACAAGACTGCTGGTCTTTGGCACCTCTGCTTGATGTTAGAAGCAGAAAGAAGACAACCCAGTTACCACATCCTAGATAAAAATAGCTTTAGCAAAGCACACACCATTTTGCACTTGATCCAGCGGACTCACAAGGCTGTACCTCCTGGCTGAGCCACAGCCTGAAGCAGAACGTTTTTGGGGACACGGACTGTAACTCCTCCAGGTATCCACCCAGCGAGTCCTACTCAAGCACTGTGAGTGTTCACGTGCACATAAACGACCAGTTCCCATATACATTCACACATTTGAGATACTCGATGACTGAAGTAGTTGTACATCCCCAGAGGATAAGAAATGACTCATTAAATAAAAAATGTGAACAGTAACAAGCACTAGTGACAGGAAGAGTGGCTGCTCCCCCCCTTCATGCCTTTATTGTAAATACATGGTCAAGTCTATTGTCACGACCATCTCCAAAAGCATCTCTGCTTGCTTGAGCACTCGTTCCCTTCCTCCTGCTCTGCCTAGTCCTGCCGAGGGCTCACAACATTCACAGCAGCACCCTACACGTACAGCTGTTCTGCCAGCTGTTCCAACAGTCACAAGCGCACGCTGTAGCAAGAGGTCTGCAGCCCTTCTGCCCCTCTTCTCTCTCTCCCCGTGCTACCAGGACTCACCCATCGACTGGATGGCGGTGGGAGGGTTCACATTTTGAGCAGATGGATCCGTCACACCTCCCTGACCGTCCAGTAAGGACTGCACAGCCAGCACTGTCTGATTATCCATTCCTGAAAGGAGACATGAGTATGGATGGTAAACTGGCACAGCCCAAACGCGGAATGCTCAGACGCTGGGAGCTCACTCGTGAGTCACGGAGGGAAGCCACTCGCCAGCTGCTGCTGTCTTCTACAGAGCCACTCACCTTCTCATCCCCCTCTACTCCGCTGCGTTAACTATCATACCAAAGCAACACTCCCACCTGTCTCCATACACTCTGTCAATACAAGAAGAAAAGGGAAGAAGGGCAAGGAAAGCCAAACAAGGGCTTGGTTTCAGGCATTTGCTGCAGAGAGTAAGAATGCTTACAAACAGTGAGCATGAAAAGAGCTAAGAAGTAGCTATGTGGGATGTCACAGGCCATACAGGGTAGCAGCCTGTGTGGATCTGCCTGAGGACACAGTGTGACACAGCACAGACAAGCGCTGAGCTCGGTAAAGACAAAATCCTCGGTGTGCAGCGACTGTCTCAGCAGCAGTGTTAGAAATGCCTCCCTGTTTTCAAGACCAGTGTTTGGATCTGATCAGACACAGGGCTATGAACTACAGGAGGATTTCAAGTTTTAAGAGGGAAATATTAAGCAGGGGCTCCTGGGATAGATGCTTTGGGGGGGACCTCCTTGGCCACCCCAGTTCTGGGACATGTGGGAGAGCGGGACCGTGGCTCCCCTCAAGCAGAGTTGCCAGTCACTCACTCCCATTTCCATTTCCCTCAGGACTCCATAAAAGCACACATCCCCAGCCAGATTTGTTGTCAGAATTGGCCCACTCGCTTTGGCACAAATATTTCTTGCTACAGCTAAAACGTTCTAAAAGATTTCAGATAAAAACAGGAGAGGGGGACTGCTCATCTAGGCAGACAACCTGGCCAGCAGCATGAGACCAGTGGATTAAGCCTGACACACTTTCTTTTTTGAAATCACAGGTAAAGACATGTAGAACAATCCAATTATGGAAAAAACAACAGTGAAAAGGGGTGATTTTTATGCACCACTCCTCCCTACCATTCCCTTATGACAAGGAACCCATGAATAAAACAAATGGCATGCCAGGGTTGTATACTTTATGTATAGAGTGAAAGAAAAGTTGGGGGGCTCATAAATTGCTTTTCACTTTTCTCCAAGATCTTTGCAAAACAAAACTGTGAAGCTCTGAACTCAGAATTACATGCCACAATAAAGAGAAAATCTATCGGTCTGATAATTTCTAAGCAGTGAGGTGAGGACAGCTCCTGACAAGAGGCTGCTCAGCAAAGAGCACCAGGAGGGACAGTGAAACACCGTAGCAGATGACAGCATAAAGGAACAGTGCAGCAGAAGCAATCACCATTTCAAGTTCCTCTTGTGATTTTAAAATTTCTCCTGGACAACCGGGATGTTACCTTCCTGATGGGGACTACCCATACAGCATTTTAAAGATACCCTAAATACTCATTTCTCCTGCATCTCCAACGTGAAGCAAGTAACATGACGACTCTGTAAAGACCTTTTTCATTATTTCACCATGAAGAGGTTGCAATCACTGCACGTGCCCCTGGGAGCAAGCAGAGTGACCTCTCCCAGCTGCTGAGGAGCAGAGAGCACACGCGGCTACTGGAAAGCAGCAGATCACACTACTTCACACGCTACCATAAAATTTCCACTGCGCTTATGGGAACCCTTTCACATAAATCAGAGGGAGGCACAGCAAAGCTGCAGGTCCAGTTCTGCAAGCCTTCGCTTGCACAGAGCGCTGCACGACAGCCCCGCCAGCAGAAGGCCACTGGAGCACTCCAGGGTAAATCTTCTCACACCAACCAGAGCCCTGCTTTAAAATATACCTCTTCTTGTACAAATAACCTCCCAGTCAACTGCAAAGGCAGCACTGCAGGCTCTTGTTGGCATATCCAAACCAGAAAGTGAAATGGAGCAGCCCTTCTTCAGCAGAAGTAGGCTAGCAGGACACAAAAGAAAAAGGGGGATCAAAAATTCAGGTTAAGTATATCATGGGGTTTATTAAGAACAGTTTGCATAAAAAATGCCACTCTTGATGTGCCCACCACTGGGCAACTGGGTTTCATTCTGCCACATAGCCAGATCTTCCAAGTAAAAAAGCCAGTTGATTGCCTCAATACTGCTAGGAGGAAGAAGCTTGAGGAGAGGCCAAGTCATGAAGACAGGCAACAATGATGCAGCAACATTGTCGGTGTTGCATCCAGCCTTCTGCCAGAGAAAAGTGGCCCAGGACAACAGAAACACATTGCTCTCCATTCATTTGGCAATTTGTACAAATGCCTACAGAGTCCCTGCAGTTCTACAGGGTAAATGCACAGTGCCACAGTTAACATGGAGGGAAACCACCAAGTTCAAGGTTTAGTAACCCATGAAGACAAGCCCGCAGTTACTTGGTTACACAGAGGCCATTCACAGCCATCCACGGACTCCAGGAGAGAGCTTTGGATCAATCCTGCACTGATTACAGCCAGCACCAGTCTACAGGATGTTCTTCACAGTCACAAAACCAAAAAAAAAAAAAAAAGCCATCTCTCTTCTCCTGGGAGCAGCAGGCTTTCCCCAAAGCCTGACAAAAATAGTGGGATTTGGGGAAGCCAGGATAAAAGTACAAGACTATTGGTTTGTGCTTTTTTTTCTCTTTCAAATTTCTCTCAGTTAGAGATGAAACAAGACTGCTCACTTCACCCAGGTGCTACTTCTCCCTCATGCCCTGAATTTCATGCATTGAGTCTTTTTTCTGCCAACACGAGCACCAGGTGCTCTAGTGACAGGTGAAAATGCACCTCTGCCCCATAGCACCCACTGGGAACACGGCTGCTCTCAGCACTGCACATGAATGCCAAGTCACCATTGACTTGTAATCGAATCAAGACAAAACAAACAAGCTCAGTTACTCAAAGCTGCCAATTGTTGTGGGCTTCAAAAAAAAAAAAAAAATCACACTTTTTCTTTAATTTGCTAAAATGTTTTGCTATCTTGAATTCTATGAGGAAACCCACACAATGAGAAGCTGATGGCAAAGAGGAAATAAGGAACCTGATTATACAGAGTGCTGTCAAATGCACCAAGTAACCTGACAAAATAGAGAGAAATATTTCTTCTTTGCTTCTCTCTCTGCTGCTGTGATCATAGGTGCTGTTTACGAAGCACAGGGCGGCAATCTTGATGCAAGGCCTTCCAGCCAGTGGCATCCCAACTCATAAAGGAAAAAAAACACGTAAACCAACTTGGGAAATAAACGCCTTGTGAAATAGTTTTTCTCCAAATGGAGCTCAGTGTCAGGGTCAGACTCCTACAGCTTAGCACGCCCAAGAGTCCCCTCGGATGGCACCTGCCTGTAACACCCAACACCAAATTGAGACGAAGACGAGCGCGACCTGTTCGCTTCCCTGGCTGCGCCAGGCAGCGCGGACCCGCTGCGGGAACACACACGCGTAGGGGCCAGCACCCACCCGGGGACCATCCCCGGGGCTGACGGGGAGCGTGGCACTGCGTGGCACACCGGCGGGGCCAGCGGCACGAGCCCCGGGGTGTGGGGAGGACGGGGGGAGCCCAGCATGCAGGGCTTGAGGGTGCCCAGGGCACGGCGGTTTCCCAGCGCGCCGGGCACGGGGGCGAAGGGGGCGCCCCGGGGATCGGCGATGCCGTTTGCTGGGCGCAGAGCCGGGGGCGCCGGGCACGGAGGCGATGGGGTGTGCCGGGGCTAACGGGGACTGCCCGGGGCGGAGGGAGGAGCGGTGCGGGGATGCCCCGACACGCAGGGAGCGGGCGGGAGGGGGCCGGGGGTGCCCCAGGGAAGCGGGGATGTCCGCGGCGTCCCCGCCCCGCCCCTGCCGCCGCGCGAGGCCGCTGGCGCCGCCCGCCTGCCCCGGGGGCCGCGCCGGTGCGGAGCGGAGCGGGAGCGGGGCACGGCCCCGCGCTGCCGGGAGAACCCCCGCGCCGCGCCAGGCCTGGCAGGGCGGCCCCACCGCGGCCCCTCGTCACGCGCGGCGGCGCTGGGCGGGAGGTGACGGGGGAGCGAGGAGAGGCGCATCCCCGCTGTCGGCGCGGCGCGGCCGGGCCCGGCGCGGCGGCCCCGTTACCTTCCAGCGCCTCGAAGATCGCCTGCGCCATCTTGGAGCCGCGGCGGCCGCGACCCGCCAGCCGGAGCGGGCACCGGGAGCAGCGCCGCCGCCCGCCGCCAGGGGGCGCCCTCCGCCCGCGGCGGGGCCCGGTTGGGGGGGGGGGGGGAAAGGACGATGTGGGGGGGGCGGGGTGGCACCGGGCCGCCGCTCCGGGCAGCGACGCGCCGGCTGGTGCGGCCGGGCCCGGCGCGGTCTTGCGTTTAACTCGGGCCGCGGCGGAGCGGCGCCGTTGGCAGCGCCCCAGCAGCCCGCGGAGGGCGGGTCCCGCCGAGAGGGGCCAGAACCGCCTGGCGGCGGCTGCACCTGCCCCGCTCGGGCTCCCGGCGCGGCGGCTGTGAGGGCCCGCGGAGCCCCGGGCCCATGTCCGGCGCCCGGCCGGGCCGCCCCGCGGGGCCGACAGCGGCGAGCGTGGCCCCGCCCCCAGAGGCGGGGGTGGGGGGAACTTCCTCCGCGCCTCCGCCATTGGCTGCAGCACGGGCGCTTCTCACCAATGAGCGGTTAAGGCGGTGCCGATGGACAGGCGGGAGAGCCTATGCGTACGGCGGGCGGGGCCCCGCCCCCGGAAGCGCGCTCGCCGCCGGCAGCCGGGGCCGGGGGCGCCGCCATGGCGGGCGATGGGGCCTCGTTCCGCGCCCTGCTCCGCGCCGTCAATGCCTTCCTGCGGCAGCGCCGCTACCGCACCGCGCTCGCCGTCCTCAAAGGGTTCCGCAACGGGGCCGTGTGAGTGCAGCGGCTGAGGGGAGGAAGGGGGCACCGGGGCCGGCGGAGGGGCGGTGGGGTGTCTCTGCTCCCTGGGGCCCAGTCGGCCCGAGGACCGCTGCAGGCCGCCGTGTGCCCTCCTGGCTTGGAAGGAGGCCGGGGCTGTTACGGTAGAGATTCGGGAGAGGCGTTTCCATCTCCCTCACCGATAGGCGATGTTTTAACTGGTTTGGGGGTCCCTTTAGGGCCTGGCTTGCTGGGGTGCATGTTCTCTTAAGTCTGTGGCCTGGGCTCCCTCTGGTTTGGTGTGCTGCTGCTACTGGGATGACTTAAAAGTAAGATGTAGTTGCTTAAGTAGCGTCTTTTGGCTGGCAGTAGAAGAGAAATATAATAATTGGGTAGTGTAGCACAGAACCTCTGAAATATGTATTTACTTTTGCAGTTATGGAGCAAAAATTCGTGCCCCACATGCCCTGGTGATGACTTTCCTATTCAAGAGTGGAAGGTACAAACCCTAGTTCTGTATGTCTGTGTTACTGCTTATAATGTTTTTATTCAAGCATTCAATTTTTCAAGTTTCCAGAGGGCTTAAAATGCAGAAAGATACATGAGCCTTGTTTGCTGCCTGTTGTATTGGTAGCTAACCAGGACAACTTATATGCACACACAGATAGACATAGTCATAGGGGTCAACCACTCATAGAATGGTTGATGAGAAGCAGTGGGCAGAGGAGAAATTAGCAGATGCAAACAGCAGCTCTCCATTCAAATAAGGAAAGTCAAGCTATTGCACTGCATGTTGCGGCTTTCCCCACTTATGCCAGAGATTTGCACTTGGGCAAAAAATATTAATACAGGCTGCCTGACTAGTCATAGGACTAGACAGAAGCCCAATCTGCAATTTGAGTAGAGCTGTATTCTGATGAGCAAGCCAGAGCTGAAGGGATTTCTCCTCCCTCACAAGATGTGCTGTGGGGCGCCCAACCTGTCAGTCTAGATGGGCAAGCCAGAGGGGTATAGTGTCCAGGCTGAGTAACTGCAGTGGTCCAGCATTTTTGGTCTCCTAATTGTCTGTTTCTTTTCTTCAGTTTAAGAGAGAAATTGAAATCGATTGCTCAGGCTACGTACACTCATTCCTGGAACTTGGCGTATTTTGTGTTCACCTACAAGGGGCTGATGGCGTTGCAGTCCCAACTACAGGGGAAAAAAATTCCATTTCATTGTTTCTTTGCAGCCTTCATGGGGAGTTTGCTAGTGTTCAGTGAGAACAATCCCATCAACAGCCAGGTAAATGCGTTCGTTGAAAGTTTCCATGACAAAAAAACCTGACGGATGATCGTGTGCCAGGAAGTGATTGCTATAGCCTGGCATGTTTCTGGTGGTTCTTGTGTAGCATTACTGTTTCACCATACTCCTCTTTGTACAAGTTCTTGTTTTGGCTGCTCTGCACTCAGACACTAGAGGTGGCTGTGTGCCTCCATGAACAGTGTGTGCTGTTTGAGCACTAAAAGCCCAGGTTTACCTCCGGAGCTGTGCTTGCATGCCTAGGAAAGGCAGCAGTCATGCAGTCCAAAGCCGTTGGGTTACCCCACCTGTCATCTGAGCTGTGGTAACTGACTGTGAGCCCTCCTAGTCTGCCTACTCAGAGGGTTAAACCCTTTATCTTTAATGTTTTAAGTGTAGAGCACAATCAGTTACTGAGCTACTCTTAATTAACCTGGTAACAGCTGCTCAGGGGATGTTTGAGTTAAACCTGGTTGTTAACACACAGTCACAGATGAATCAGTCTGTAAAACAGATAGATGCAGATTAATCAACAGTGTTCTACTTACGCGGTGCCCTGTAAGAGCATACCTTCAGTCTGTGTTTAGGCTGTGTCCAGACTCCTGAGTTTGTATCTGCTTGGCAGGTTAGCAGGGCAGGGCTCTCTCTGACTATTCCATCAGCAGCAGCATCTGAGGTAGCAGTAACTGAGCCAAAAACAAAAGTTGTGCAACTGCAAAGATGTGTTGCATGAAGTATAACTTGTTGAGTACTAACTGAGAGTACCAGCAGAGAAGTAGGATTTTGAGGACATAGGGAAGACACAAACATCTCCAGTTATAAAAACTGCTTGATATGTGAACCTACAACCTGGTGGTTTTAAGTTGGATAAATTGTTTCCACTCCCATTGCCTGGCTTATCGCTTCTAAATCACTTAACCTGGCAGGTATATCTGGTCAGGTTATTTACCTCACGGTCTTTGGGTTTTCTCTTCATGCAGATCACTATGTACCTGCTGTCTCGGATCCTGTTCGGCTTGTCTCGGCTGGCAGTGGAAAAGGGCTATATCCCAGAGCCAAAGCGGGATCCCTTTCCATTTGTCACCGCTCTGGTATGGGGGATAGTCCTTTGGCTCTTTGAATACCACCGGCAAACTCTTCAGCCTTCTCTACAGTCCTCCATGACCTACCTGTATGATGATAGTAATGTATGGCACGATATTTCTGACTTCCTTATTTATAACAAAAGGACAGACAGCAAGTAGGTGGTTCATTGTAAAACATCTTGAATGGGATGCTACCTCCAGCAGCTAAGGGAAAAGGTTATTCTGTTGCTCTTGACTGGTGATTTTTTTTTAACCTAATGTCTGTCAAGCAGAGTTGCCTCTTTTGTTCTGGCCAAAAAGTTCTGATTAGTCTTCTATTGTCTCTCTTTAGAGCAAGTAAATACCCCACAGAAACTTGTTGCAGTCTTTTTTAAGATAGGCCTTATTTTCCCTACAAGTATGGGTTTGGGGTTTTGTTTTGTTTTGTTTTGTTTTTTTTAAGAAACTAAACATACTTATGACATTCTGACAGTAATTGGAGAGTATGTCTAATCATGAAAAAATGTTCCAAGGATCATCTAAATGCTCGCAAGGCAGAAGTTTCTTTTTTTTTTTTCTGTGCTAACTGTGGTGCGATGGGAGTGGGGGACCTTCTCAGGTCTGAAAACAGGGACATAACTTAGTGATTTCTGTGGGCAACCGGAAATCTTGTTTAATCTGTTACAAGAACAAGTGTGTGTTCCTTAAGAGAGTTTCTTTGCAGTTCTCCCACAAGGAGACAATAAGATGTTTGAGACTAAAAGTGTTGAAATTGTCTGGTTTAAGCTTGGTAAATCAGCCTTGGAAGGACTATTTTGCTCATTTTCTTTCATATGCTTGAGCTAAATCTGCCCCTCTGCAGAGTGCACTAATTAATACCCTATAATTATTTTTAAATTATTCGTAAAGTTTTTAAAAGCTGCTTGAACTGAAAACCAAAACCAGTTGTGCTACTTAGACTCCTTTGGAAACGGGCTGAGGTGCATTGCACGCCCTTGGATATCACACTGGGTACTTTACATGTAGAAGTGAGCAACACTTGACAAGCACTTTTATTGTGGTGGAAGGTAAGCACGTGGGTTTCTCTTAGGTCCAGGATCTACCCTGCATAGCAGTGGCGTGTGTTAGCTGTAGTGAAACTTGAACGTACCTGCAGTTTGTGCAGGCTTGTTGCTGAGCCAGGTTGAGGCCACGGATGAAAAAACAAGTGAATCTTCCTCTTAAAAATGCAGTTGCTGAGCCTCGGGAGTAGTGCAGCACCCGCTGGGCTTTAACATCAGATTGACTAGATAGCTGAGGAAAACACTTGTTCTTAATAAGTTCAAGCTGTTAATCATGCAAAGCACTTACACTGCCATATAACACTATACCATTCACTTAATGATGTACATTAAAATAATTCCTGATGCAGTGTTTTTTTTGCGGTGATATCTGCAGGAGAGTCACTAAGTTGCCTGTGCTAACCGTTCCCTTTTGGCTCAGTTGAAACTTTTGTTCGCTCTCTCTGTACCCACCTGCTTTTCCATCCTGACGTGAGCGTGTCATTTTATAATCCCACTGATGCTGTTCTTCATGGTCTTTCACAGTCTCTTTATGCTCCAGGCTCTATCAATTTGTTGAATTCAATGATATGTCTGAAACAGTACATTTAAGTACGAGTAGCTTCTAAGTAGAAAAAAATTCTCAATTTCTTCTCAAGTCATTTTTCCTTGTCCTCCTAAGCTCTTTTAGTACTGTTATGCATATTGTGACTGCTGCTTTGCTCTTTATTTTTCCACACTCTGTGTCGGCAAGAAGGAGAGTGAAATGTTCCCCTCTCCATAGTCTGTCTGGTGCTGCAATGTCTGGGATTGAATTGCATCCTGAGTGGCTCAGGTGGAGTAGGAATAGAGTCTTCTGGCTCATGAACTGAATCCAGTGCTGAGTCTGGCTGCATTCACTGTGAGATCTTGCAGTGTAGAGACGGAAGCTTCTTTGTGCTTATGCCACGCAAATTCACAACATACTTGTGTTTGGTGCCCAAAAGACAAGATACTGCTTTGCCATGATAACTGTCTATGGTACCTTTAACTTTTAACTTCACCTGATATTACAGTCTGTACTGAATACTTGAATTTGAACACCAATCAGTATTTAAACAAAGGAAAGCTATAGAAGTTAAAAATTGGGTTTGTTTCTGTGTCGATTGGTGTAGATAAGCTTAAAGATTCAAGTACAGAAAAAATACTGAAGCTACAGGTGCGGTCTGATTTCTTTATAAACATGGTATCTTCATCTGCACCACTGCTGGATATCTGAAGCAGCATGGGTGCAGCACTTTATTTTTGTGTCAGAAGCCTCAATTATTTGTTCCAAATAAGTATGCTAGTATTGTGCTAATATTGCTGAATAAGCTTTGATGGGATCCTAGAAAAAAATTCCACAATCTGACAGCTATGGCTTTTAATTTATAGCTGGCATCCCATTCCCTGCTTGTGATTCCCTTAGAGGAAAAATAATTTTCTTCTGCTTTTAGTTCTACCACTGCAACCATGTGGCTGCTTGTGGAGCACTTCTCTGGCCACATGAAGGACAAGTGACCTGTCCTGTCCTTTTTATACTACAGTAGTATCTCTGTCCTCTCTAGATGGCAAAACCAAGCCAATAGCATGTTTCTAGTATCAGCCTGTCAGCAGTGGCTATCAGTCGTCCTTAGTTCAGAATGCCCCTTTTCTCTTGGGAATCTATCACCAACTTCACTTTGAAAGCAAACTGTGCCCGAGCCTCCAACCATCTGTACTTCTGACCCAGGAACCAGCTGCCATCCCTGCAAGACAAGCTGCAGCTCATCCCCGGAGCAGGTCCCGTGTAGCAGCAGCCATTAGCTGGGTGTTTGCGGACGGTTGGTTTGCCTGCTGCGTTGGGGCAGGACGTTATGCTGCAAGTCACTTCTTTCCCCAGGAAAGTAATTGGAACAGTTCTTTAATGGCAGTAGTCTGCATCGCTGTTTCTGTGACCAGATAGCTGCGGATGAGCCCCTTATGCTACCAAGGTGTTGGAACAATGCGGGCGTGTAGTAAGGAAGTGAACTAGAAGTAATTTGTCTGAGCCAGACTTCTCGGATACATAAGTTACACTCCCTGCCCTCCCCCAGTGCATTGTGTGGGGAATTGAGTCCCCTGTTTGTGTTCCTTTTTTATTAGCATTAAAAACACAAGAAATAAAGAGACAGTTGGCAAGCCACCTGCGAATCAGCCAAATGCTTAAGAATCACAAAGAAGTGCCATTTTGCTCCCCCCCGACCCTGATCGGTTTTGAATTTTAAGATGAACGTGGGTTTGTTTGTCTACATCAACTTTATTTTGCCGTGGTTTTCCTTCCTCAACACCTAACTGTGAGATGCTGAGTGCCTATGAAGAGGAGCAGAGTGTCTCAATGCTTAGCTTGGTTTGTCAAGAACTAGGTTTACTGGATAAAATGGAAGTGTTCATTTTAAAATGATGCTTCTCCTTCAGATTTTAAGCCTCTTTTAGAGGCAGTTTGAAAGGTTAATGAATCAGACCGATCAAAAGTTTTCAGCAGGCCTTGAATAGCAAACTGCCTCTACCGAGCTATTAATCATTTATTTTATGAAGGAACAAAGCAAGCTCAGGGTTATTTACTGCCGCTGCATGCTGCCCTAGCATACCCACTGTGCTTCACTTCTCTTTGGAGGACAGCTTGTATGCTAGTGGTGGCTGTCAGGATTGCTGAAGAACCATTTCCGGGACAATTACATTATTTAACAAAGGTGACAATTAAATGGGTACATGACATTTGGTATAGCTAAGGTTTTCTGTACTGCATTTGATCCTTTCAGTTAAGGGGAGGATATTCCTGAAAGAAAAACCTGTGCTTGTCCAATTAGTGCCGCAGAGAAGTGCTTATGGAGGCGGCTGCTGCTGGAGAGTACGAGTCTGTGTTGGCAGCGTGACAGCGTGCTGTGTCCCGGTCACCATCCCTGCGCCTGGGCAGTAACCTCCCCTGCTCCAGGCAGCCGGGTCGGGAGGGAGAGGCTGCAGAAGAGCTTTGATATTGGTGCTGCAAGACTTTCTTGCCCTGGTAGAGTAGTTCAAGCTCTGCGTAAACCAAGCTAGGTGGTGGGTAGAAGTGCGGGGATGTCTGGCTGCTGAATTAAACCAAAACCAGGCGTCCATGGGGACCCCCTGTGACTGCAGAGGGGGTCCCCTGCGCACACTAAGCTCTGCAGCCAGTTGGGAGCTGTTGTGGATGGCCAGTGCTAGCGAAGTAACCAGAACCCCATGTGGATACCCTCATGCAGAGGAGAAACTCTCAAACTCATTTTTGCTGCATCAGCACAAATACGACCTTTGGATAGTACCCCAAGCTGCATGCTGTCTCCTGTTTGTCAGGTTGTGTTTGTCTTCCTGGATCATGCCAACCCAAGCGGAACGTGTATGGTTCTCTGATGCTGGTTTTTAATCTAGCAGATAAGGGAGGAGAGAAAATAAGGCCTAATGCTGTCCAGCACAATGTCTGTCTGCCACTGTTAATATTTTAGGGGTGCTAATCTTGACTTTTGAACCTGTGTGTTCATACCAGATTGTTGGAGGAGGTAACTTTTTTTCTTTACTTAGAAGAATTTTCATCCATCTCATTTCCTTATGAGACTGATGATGAGGAGGGGGGAAAAAATGAAATGCTCTATAATACAAGTATTATTACCTCTGCTTTTAGTATATATTTTGTGTTCATAATTGCTATGTAATCTGGGCCCTGATTTTCTGACAACATAGAATAAAGTTTAGAACATAAACTCAGGTAACCTGTAATTACACTGATCAGAATGCTTGCAGGAATTAATGTCTCAGCTTTTGGTTTTAAAACATGTGAAACAGGGGGCAGTGGGTTGTTGAAGTAGCTCTGTCCACTATGAATTGCCTTCTTGCACAGTCGGTATAGTGTATCAATCCAAGACTTTCTGCCAAGCTAATTTACATATTATTTCTGTATAGTCACTCTCTGAGTATTATTACACTGTACTTTCTATAACCATATTAAAAATATTTTTTTCTTTTTTTACTGTTGTCGTTATTAATCTAAAATATATTAAGTAATGCTTAATTTATTGCATGTTGCTATTCCTGTATGTAGAGAAGTAATGCACAGAGTGACTTTTTGGCATCAGTTGTTGCCCTTGTGTTACCAGCTTGGAGGCAATAGGCAGGGCTACTTTGCGTTGACCAGACCATCAGATTTAACCACTGCAACGCTGGCTAGCTCGGGTGAGGAACCTAGATGCAAAGACAAATTGGGGTGACTGTCATCCTTTTTTGGGGTTGTTTTTTTTTTTTTGTTTTGTAAGCATGAACTTTCCTATGCCATAGCTGGTTGGATTGCTTAGTGTGGCCGTATCTTCAGACCAAGTCAGCCAAATTGTGTCTAGGCTGGGCGGTTGGTAGCACATACAAGCAGGACACGCTCAAACACAGTGTTAATGGAAAAGGGTGCGACCCTCTTTTTGCTCTTGCATTGCAGCTGGCAAAGAGTCAGTCTGTCCCGCTGGGCATTCCTGGGGTGGCATGGGTATGGGGCAGACTGCTCCTTGGTGCCTTGCGGGCCGCCGAGAACACACACGAGAGGTTGGGGAAGGCACGCAACTCTTCAGAGAAGTCAGCTGGAGGAAGCTCTGTTGGTGACTGCCCCGCTTGCCTGTGGAGTCCTGGCTTCGGTCTGTGTGCCTGGTCCTTGCCCAAATACTCCTCTTTAGGGCGGACAGCCTGCGACGGGACCATCTGCCAGGGCAGGGCGCAGGTACAAGGCACCCGACAGAAGCCTGAACCTGCTTTGCCTGTTCACTAAACAAATTAAGGACATATACAAATAGTTAGACAAAATAAGAGTGTATACAGATGATTTTGCTGCCTCTTCCAAGCCATAGAGAGAATATGCTGTAGAGCTAGCAGCTGTGGTAGTGGAGCTACAGCAAAGCAGTCCCTGTGTGAGGAGCTTCCTCCGTACGGGCAGGTAAGGGAGGTCCTGATCCCAAACAGAAGAGGGTCCCTCTGCAGTGAGAGTGCTGAACAGCTGTAAGAGAAAACTTCCCACTTTGTAGCTGCTGCAGTGCTGCAGTGTGCAGCAGAGGTCCATGAGAAGCCAAACTGACACCTCAAAACTGATGTCAGTCCTAGCTTAACTTTCCTCCCCCCCCCCCCCCCCCCGCTGAAAGCATCACACTGTACCTGAGCCCTTCTGCTCCAAGTGAAGCTCTGAGTGAGATTTTGCTCTGACACTTTACCTGCCTTTTGGGTTCACAGTGCCAGTGGCCATGCTCTGAACCTGCTGGGAAGTGAGCTTGGACCAGCTAGAGTTACGAAGTCTAGGTAGAAGCTAAAACACAGAAGCAGCATCAAGGGGCTTATTCCCATTCGGGAATACTCCGTGATGAGTCCCAGGCTATTTGCATAACGTACTGCTCTGCAAGGAGAAATGCTTCTGCCTCTCCATTCCTCCGCAGGCCCTGAGCGAAGGAAGTTGAAGAGCCTTGTCGCACGGAGTGGCTTTTAGCAACCGGCGTGGGAAGGTGGCGGCGTACTGCTCTGCCTTACAGAGACTGGAACAAGATTGTCCTGTTCGGGTGTGAAAAGCAGAGCCGGGGGCGAAGAGGTTCCGTGCCCCTGTCGCTTCTACTGAAAGACTCTACGGGTTGATGTGAACTTTAATAACAGATGCCATCATACGAGAGAAGGAAATAACACTGCTGAATCTGTTGTGCCCAACATCCATGAGAGTAGCTGACCTAATGTCTTGGCAGAAGAACTGCTAGTGTAGTCTTCTATAACAAGATGAAAGGGAGCAGGCAGTTCCTAGTTTTTGGGACTGGGATCTGAGAGAAGACACCTAAACCAGTGATGCTCTCCATCTGACACAATCAAGCTTCAGTTATTTCATTTGCGCTATCAGAAAAGAGCTTCAGCTCCTGTAGAAAAAAGGCAATGGTGGAGGGCAGTAAGGTCAGGATAACAGGACTATGGGAGCTCTGGGCTTTCCCCAGCTGCCTGTCCCCCTCCACAGGTCCTCTTGCAGCGAGAGCGTGCCACGCTGTCGGCTCGCTGTCATCTGAGCCGAAGCGGTGGGAGCGGGGGCGTTGGCAGGACCCCCCGGGGGTGGCCGCGCTCCCCTTCACGCCAGGCGGCCGTTCCAGCGCGACAGCTCAGCGCAGGCCGGGCGGGAGGTGCTGAAAGCAGGACCACCCTACAGACAACAAGGACAGTGAGCGTGCTTCTGGGACACCTACATGCTAAGGTTCACTGAGCACAGGGATGCAGGTTTGCATCCTACCAGCTCTCCTCCTGCCTGCTCCCACTGCCGGGAGATGATTTTGCAGCATAGATACCAGCTCCAGCTCTGTCTGCAGCCCCGGTTTGAGCTTCTCCTTCAGCACGGGGACCAGCAGACACCCCTTGGCCTGAGTGCAGGCAAGCTAAAACCCACCCCAGCTCAGTGACTGCTGCAGGGTAAATCCAGCTGGGGTACAAAGCATATGAATAGCCTCCCTGATCCTCTCCGTGACCAAGTGAGGCCGCAGGATAAATGACTTTATCTTTGTGCAACACTCGCCAGACAGCTAATCTTGGAAGCACATCTCCACTCCTTAGCAGGGCTGGTGAGGCTGGGAGGAGGCTGCAGCTGTGCAGGAGATGGGATTCATCTGCTTTCGCTCATATGCATGAAAGAAAAGCTCCTGCTCTTCTCCCACCAGTATTTGCCTTTCATTTGTCTTCGCAGCCACCCTTTCTCAGCACCAACAGCACTAAAAGCCTTGGAGAAGTTGCAGTGCAGCCAGGCAGCGCAGCAACTCGGTGGGAGAGGGAGGCAGAGCACAGCCTATTCCCCCTGAATAAGGTCCCGCATGAATTAGGGGGGGTGGGGTGGGAAAAGCAGCCTTTGTGAGCAGAGCGGGAGCAGCTGGTGCAGCAGCTGTGTCCCAAACCCTGCGTCACCCCAGGAAGCGCCTGGCCGAGGCTCCCCGGGGACGGGGAAGAGCACTGCCAGCCATTCGCTCCTGCCCGGCTGTCGAGTTGCCTTTTTCCCCTCTCCCCAGATGGAAGAAACATTAACTATGTGCAAACATCTGGTCTAACTGTTGCTTATGCATCATAGTAGTGATGATATTGCAGTGCAAGGGCTCCAGAGAGTGAGCTCTTTAATATTAGAAGGGCTGAGGGATAATTAACTGTATTAATTTCCTTTAAGCAGGGCAGCATTTCTCTTTGCTTTTTTGCTAATGAAGAAATGAGGCATGGAGAGGTGATGTGATTGGTCACGGACATGCACGATGTTACTGACATATTTAAGGATGTGTAGGGATCTGGGGAAGTCATGGCATTGCTCTGTGCTGGCTGTCCTGTGGGGCAATTGCAGCCGCTGCCAAAGTATCCAGCATAAAATCATTCAAAGCCTGAAACCTGTTAGGCCAGCGCAGGGGCACGGCGTGTCAGGATCTGCTCTGCAGCAGAGGAGTTAACACATCCCTGCGAATGCCTCCTGCATCCCACGCACTGGTGGAAAAAAACACCCCATCTCCTGCATCCCAGGCAGGTCGGATTTGGCAGCGGGGCCGGGGCGGGAGCCAGCGCTGGCCCACAGCCCTGCCTGGCAGCAGCAAGGAGCTGGAGGCCACCACGTTTATCCGTGGGGCCCTTTGGGGACGCGTGGGGCAGCCTGTGGGGACACGGGTTAAACGCTGGGCTCGGCTCAGAGGGGTTCTGGGTGCCTGGCCAAGACCCAGGCTGCACGTTCTGCCCATGAGCTTCAACATCTCCAGGCCCTGGGAAGGGCCTACTCTTTAAGTTCAGGGGTTTTATTAGAAAGATGTCTATTTTTTTTTTTTTTTTCCTTTTTCATTTTGCCTTCTCATGCAGCAGGAGGGTTATCAGCACCCTGCACGCGGTAGATGCTGATGGTGGGAGCCGCCTGTGCTGTGTCTCCTGGGTGGATTATCATCTCTCTCTGCGTGGTGGGGCCACTCCTGGCTCCGGCTGCCCGGCCCTCAGCCCCAGCCACGCAGTCCCGCCGCCGGAGATCCCTGCCGGCACGGTCAAGGGCAGATTTTGCTCCCAGCAGAGCTTTTTCCCTGTGCCACCCTGCAAGGGGTTATCAGCTAGTGCTGAAGAAGCTGCTGAGATCCAGAGCTGTTAGGTGATTGGAAATACAAAATGCTGTGAGTTATCCGGCAAACGGGCAGAGCTGGCTGCAGCATCCCAACCTTTCTGCACGAGCTGGACCCCTCAAGCAGCACCCGAGCCCAAAGCCTCCGGACTTGCCCGACAGCCTCATCCATGGTCTCGGGGCGGCTTTGCAACAAGGGAGACAGGACAACCCTGAACTCATCCCTCTGTCCCTCCATCAGTTTTACGGTCCCAACACTCCCCTGAGAACGTTGCCCCCCGCAGACCTCCTGCTCGAAGGCTGCACCCCAGCACGGCTGAGCACCCCCTGACACCCGCCAGCTGCTGCCGGGCTGGCCCTGCGGCGGGGGGATGCCCTGAGCCTCCGAGTCACCGTCACCCCACGGGGAAGGGGCACGGCTGGGGGGGCAGCCTGGGACAGCCCGCAGCGCCCAAAGCCACCGGGCCCCACGGGTGGGCAAAGTCCGTGGGGGTGGGGGGGGGCAATGTGAACTTTGCTCGTGGGTGTGTGCCGGTGCCCTCCTCCTCCCCCTCCGCCATCCGACGAGCAGCTGCGCCCGCAGCCGGAAACCCGTCACCCCGCCGGGGCAGGGGCAGGACCCGGAGCCCGGGCGCGGAGCACAGAGCCCTCCCTGCACGCCGGCGCTGCGTGCCCAGCTTTCCCCGCGGCTTAACCCCGCCACGGGCGGGCAGAGCCCGGGGCCGAGCAGCGCTCGCAGCGGGATCCCCGGGGCGGGGGGCGAAAGGCGCCTCCTCCCCCCCCCCACCCCCCGCCCGTCCCCGCGCGCTCCGCACCCACGCGGCGCCCCCGCCGCGTCCCCGAGCCGCCCCCCGATTGGCCCCTGCCTCGGCGCGGCGCCGCCGATTGGCCGCCTGTCAGCGCGTCGGGCGCCGCCGTCCGCGACCAATGGGCGGGCGGCACCGCCCGTCGCTTCGTCGGCGGAGACCAATGGGACGGCGCCCCCGCCCCCCCGCCGCGGCGCCCGGCGGCGGGCGCAGCCAATGGGCGGGCGGCGGGGATGCTCGCGCCGCTTTCGCGGCAAAAAGGATTTGGCGCGCAAAGGCGCGCGGGGCCGGTCGCGCCCGAACAATACGGCGGCGGGCGCGGAGCCGAGCGGAGCGGAGCGGCCCCGCGCCCGGCATGGGCCGCGCCCCTGCCCGCGCCCTGCCCGCCGCGCCGCCCGCCGCCCCGGCGGCCATGTGAGCCATGGCGGCGGCGGCGGCGGGCGGCGCGGCGGGGCTGGCGGCGCTGCTGGGCAGCGCCTCCCCGCACCTCCTCATCGTCTCGGCCGCGGAGGAGCCCGCGGGCGGCGGGCACCACCCCGACGCCGACCTCCTGCTCTTCGCCACGCCGCAGCCCGCCCGCCCCGGCGCCGCGCCGCGCCGGCCCGCGCTGGGCCGCCCGCCGGTAACCCCCCGGGAGCGGGACAGGGAGGGGGCGGCGCGGGGGCGGGGGCTGCGGAGCCCGGGACGCGGCGGGGCCGTGCTGCGCACCGGGCCGGGCTGTGTACCGGGCCGTGACCCGCTAAACCCTGCTAGGCAGTGCCGTGCTCGAGGTCGCGCCGCGCCACGCAGCTCACCTGCCGAGCGCGGCTCTTCCCCGGAAGCCGCACGCCCGGGCGCTGGGCCGGGCTTCGCCTCCCCGTCCTGCGGCCCGCGCCTGTTTTGGGGCGCTCCCCACAACGTGGCGGGGCCCTCGGTGCCCGCGCCGGCCCCGCCGGCCTGCGTGGCAGCCGAGGAGCCGTTCCCGTCAACCCGTCCCTGCCGGGGGTGGGAGCTCCCATCCCCCGGGGGAATCCCGCGGGGGGGGTCCCTCGCGGCCGCTCTCCGGCGCCGTTGGGGACGGTGAGGCCGCGGCTGTGGCCGTCCTGATGAGCGGCCCCATCCCTCGCAGGTGAAGAGGAAGCTGAACTTGGAGACGGATCACCAGTACATAGCAGAGAGCCTGCCAGTGGGCCGGGGCAAGGCCAGGAACCCCACTAAAGGTACCAGCCCCGCACCCTCTGAGCCCCCCCCCAAGCCAGCCCAGCCTGCGGCAGGGTGTCTGGCAGCCCCACTCTGCTGCCCACGAGCCGGGCTGTGCCTCCACACTCATCCCTGGCAGCTTCTCCCCATCCCTTCATGTTGGTTTGGAGAGGCTGTTCCTGGGGCCAGGTTCTTTCTGGCTGCTCTCTCCAGCCCGTGCTGCTGTCTCCTGGGCTGGTGGCATGGCTGTCCTGCCCATCTGATGGGCACCGCGCCAGCTCTGTCCCTCCCTGGGGGATGGAACCGTAGCTGTCAGCACGGTGTCAGTGCCGTGCCCCGGGTGGATGCTCCGTCATCTCCCCCTCCCGAGCCCTGCCTGGCACCTCAGTGTCACAACTGAGGACGGCCGTCGGAGCCTGTGCCAGGTCCTGCGGCGTTCTTCCCGCAGAGGATGTGGGGAGCTCACCCCGTTGTCCTGAGAAAGCAGATGGGTTTCAGGTCCATGAGCCACCTGCAAGCATGGGGAGATGTTTTGGGACTTCTCACCTCCAGCACTGGGTTCCACTTGTGCCTTATCACACTTGTCCTCGGTGGCTGCAGGGGCAAAGTCTCCTGGGGAGAAGTCCCGCTACGAAACCTCGCTGAACCTCACCACCAAGCGCTTCCTGGAGCTGCTGAGCCAGTCGCCCGACGGCGTGGTGGACCTCAACTGGGCAGCCGAGGTCCTGAAAGTGCAGAAGAGGCGCATCTACGACATCACCAATGTCCTGGAGGGCATCCAACTCATCACCAAGAAGTCCAAGAACAACATCCAGTGGCTGTATGTCCCTGGGCTGGGCTCGTGGGGCTGTGGATGGCTGTTCCCTGGGATGGCTCGGGGTGGAGCAGTGTCCTGCTGGGATGGAGGAGCTCAGAGCGGTGTCACCGGGAGCATCTGCTTGAGGGTTGAGTGGTGGCTCCCCGTTCACATGGTGCACAGCCCCACGCAAGGGCTCCCAAGCAGTGTGGGCATTCCTGTGTCAGCTGTGAGTCCCCTTCGTGTCCCCCAAGCCAGCCTGGCAAGTCAGGGACTGTGTCCAGGATTGGGAAAGGGACCCTGGGGCTGTGCCCTGCTGGGAAATCTCCCTGCAAGGCTTATTCCCTGCGTACAGGGTGGGATTTAACCTGGCCCAGGTGGGGACCGCGCGTGGGGTCAGTCAGGGCGTGGGGCCGAGGGAGCTGTGGGGTTTGGTTGCTGATGGCCGTGGTGCTCCCTAGGGGCAGCCAGGCCACGGTGGGGGCCCCTGGCCGGCACCGGCTGCTGGAGAAGGAGCTGCGGGAGCTGCAGGCAGCCGAGCGGCAGCTGGACGATCTCATCCAGACGTGCACGGTGCAGCTGCGCCTGCTCACCGAGGACCCTGCCAACCAGCAATATCCTTTAGTGCGAGGCTGGGATGGGGCTGGCTGGGACACACACACACACACAGACACAACGCGGTCGAGCCCTGAGGTGAGCCCGTCCATGTTGCAAGCAGGGCGTTTGGCAGCCCACCCTCCCTCCCCCGCCACGTGAGAGCATCCCCGTGTCTGCTCCTTGACCCTCCACACCGCAGCCTACGTGACCTGCCAGGACCTCCGCAGCATTGTGGACCCCTCGGAGCAAATGGTGATGGTTATCAAAGCCCCCCCAGAGACCCAGCTGCAGGTCTCGGACCCAGCAGAGGTGAGCTGGGGCCACCCTTTGCTCCCCACACCTGCACAACCCACAGCAAATCCCAGCCCAGGCTCCCTGGGCATCCTTGTGCCTTCTCGTCTCACTCCTCTCCCCTTTCCTCAGGCTTTCCAGGTCTCCGTGCGAAGCACTCAGGGCCCCATTGATGTCTTCCTCTGCCCGGAGGACAGCTCGGGGGTCTGTAGCCCTGTCAAGAGCCCCTTCAAAGGCCCCGCAGAGGAGTCATCTCCCAACCATTCGCAGCCCAGAGCCTCCCCACTCCTGCATCCCGCCCAGGATGTGAACATGCCGCTGCTGCCCGGAGAGCAAGGTGAGGGGCTGGGGACAGGAGGGAGCAGGGGATGGGGGTTGCTGTCATGATGGCACAGTGGCTCTGGCCAGGGGCTTTTGCTGTGTGAGCCCCTCTGCCGTCAGCACAATGAGCTGGGGTGGTGCTCCGGCACCTTAGCAAGACAGGGAGGTGGGAAAGCAGGTTCTGCTGCATAGCCAGAACTTGCTTTTTTGGGGTTTTTGGCAACTGTTGTGGGATTTTTTTGCTGCTTCCCATCCCTGCAGAAACACTGCTGCCGGGGACAAGCGCACTTCCCAGCAAGTGCCCAGCAGAGGAGGTGAGCCTCTCGCCACTGGCCTCCATGGACGCCCTCCTGGAGCAGAGCAGGGAGGATTTTTCTGGTTTCTTGGCGGATGAGTTCATCAACCTGTCGCCGCCGCAGGCGCAGGACTACCACTTCGGCCTGGAGGAGGGCGAGGGCATCAGCGAGCTCTTCGACTGCGACTTTGGGGACTTCACACCTTTGGACTTCTGAGGCTCTGCTGGGGTGCTTGCAGGGGAGCTGCCAGGTTCGGGGGGGCCCACCCTTGGGCTCCTGCCTTCGCAGGCAGAGCGGGCAGGGCAGGCAGCCCCTCCAGCTGCAGCGCCCACAGCTCCTCTCCCTGTCTGTTTTTGCAATATTTTCTTCTTAGACCTCCAGCCCCCCCCAGCCCAGCAGGAGCCAGTGGCCTCCCTGGCTCCAGCCCCATGAGGGGGATGCCAGGGTGGGGGTCCCATCTCAGGGGACCCCCCCACAAAGCCCTAATCAGGGGGAGGGGCTGCCCAAGGCAGAGCCACTGCCCCCCCCCCCAGTTGCCCCTTACAGAGCCTTAAGCAGTCCTGTGTATAGATTTGATTAATTTATTATTGTCCTCTTGGGACAGCGTTTAATTTCCATGGGGGGATTGGGGGGGGGCCATGCAGCAGAGTGGGGGTGCCAAGAGGTTTCGTTATGCTGGGAAGGGGGTGGCAGAGATGTGGGGGCGCTGGGTTGGGGCTCTCCCCCCCCCTGCGAGGGGGGCTGCCCACAGCCCAGCTGAGTGCGGGGTATTTATTTATTATTTATGGCGTATGGGAGTTCTCCCAGGACATGGGGAGCAGGAGGGAGTGGGGGACGGTGCTGGTGAGGGGGGGGGGACACACACATGGAGGGTCCCGCCAGGGACTCACAGGCACGTCCCAGCTTTGCTGGCAAGGCCACTGCGGTGGCAAGTGGCCACAGGAGGGGAAGCAGGGCTGGATGGTGCTGGCAGCCCCAGGACCATGGGTGTTTCCCCTCGGGGTGGGGGTGGGGGGACACGCAGGGGTGTCCAGGGGGCGGCTGCATCTCTGCGGGCAAGGACCCAGTGCTGTCTCCAGGCTTTTCTTCCCCTCTGCATGCAGCCGTTTAGCCTTTCATCTCCGTCTCCCCCTCTCCGGCCCACTGGGGCTGGGAGAGGCAGAAGGGAGGAGCGGGGTGTCCCGGCACCCCCCAGAGCTGGGCTGGAGACGCACTTTCACTTTTACTGCCTTTTAACAAGCTTGTGTTCCTCTGAGCTTCGTGTTTAATAAAGGTTTCTACTGACTGGCCTTCGGTGCAGGGCTGTGCTCAGGTGTGGCTGGCGGCATTAGGGGTGATGGAGACCCCAACCTGAGAAACCAAGGGGGTTTGTGTTACTTTGGGAGGAGGTTCCATTTTGAACTTGAAATGGCACAAGCAGGCATGTCACTGCCTGGGGCTGCAGGAAGTGATTTGGTCCTTGTTTTTTTTTTTTTGTTTGTTTGTTTTTCTCCCTGCATCTCCACATGCTCCTGTCTGTGGGATGGGAGCTGGGGCTGATCCTGCCACCCTCTGCTCCTCCAAAGAGCCTGTGCCCCAGGGGGACAGGGTGATGAGTCTGGACAGGGATCCCTTCTTTCAGAGTCCCCATCCTTTGGCAGCCCCTGTCCCCTTACAGATCCTCTCCTGCCTGGCCCCCTCCCCTGCCTTCCTCCTGGTTTTGGGGGCAGCAGTTGCACGGCACATGCCACTGACTCCAGCTCCAGCGTGGGGAGAAGGAAGGCAGTGTGGAGCTGATGTGAAGCCAGTCCATGCATCCACTGCACCAGCAGGCTCCCAGTGCCTTCCCAGCTCCCCTCTTCACCCCAGCACCCTTTCATCCTGCCTGAATGCAGCTGCTGGCACCAGTTCGTGGCCTGGCGTTTGAGGTCCCCGTGTCCCTGCTCACTGGGGACGAGTTGGCAGCAAGTGGCAGCCCTGACCCTGAATGTCCCAACCCCCTCCGTGGCACACTATTCCCCTCCTGGGGAGCAGGTGACAGTGGGGTTCCCCCAGAGAGGGATGCTTGCAGACTCCCGGGACCCCCTGGCAGCCCGGAGCAGGCCCAGGGGGATCATGGCCCCCACCTCAGTGGCAGGCAGGGACATGCCACTTCCCTGCCCTATTTGAGCACTCGCTCCCCTCCTCTTTCTGCCTGGCCTCCTGCCTGTTTCTCCTTTAAACAGCCTGAAAAATATTTCACCCTGGGCCACGTGGCGTAGGCTCACCCTGCTGCTGCACCAGTTTTTGAGGGGAATGGGAGCGCAGGTTCTGGCCAAGCCGTCAGCGGGTGCTGGGGTGGCACGGCAAGCCCATCACCGCTGCCTGGCCTCCGTCCTCGTGCCCCCACCCGCGCACCCCAGCACAGTCCCCAGCTCGTTGTGCCGCCACAGGATTGTGCTTACTGCAGGACACGTGTGGGTAGCGGTGTGCTGGTGTAGGGTGGCAAACCCCACTGCTCAGCCCCGTCATGGTGCCAGCTCCCCACGCTGTCCCCACAGCCCCCTGGGACTGGCCAGGGCTCGGGAGTGGGGTCAGCCGGGGCGCTGGTGAGGACGGGAGCGTGCCATGCTCTCCCACAAACCCAACAGCCAGGAGGGCAATGGCACACACGGCCTGTCTGTCCCCTGTGTTTGTGGGGGAGGATCTGGTGGCTTGTGTCACACTTTCACCCCATCAAAGGGGGCTTTTTCAGGCAATTAAACTGGAAGAGCTCTTCTACTGCTCCAGTCCATGGGTCCATGCCCCAATGAGCCAGGGACAGGGGGACGGGGCGACCAGGGTGGGTGGGCATAGCCCCCAGTCCCCTGTCTGCTGCATCCTTCTTCCCAAGGTCAATGTTTGTCACCTGAGCTGCCAGGGGTGCTGAAGCTTTCATGATTTACTGTGGGGTGCCCAGCCCAGCCATATGCCAACACATTTTCATCCCCGCGCTTAGCAAGGTCCAGCCCTCCTCCTCTTCCCCTTTTAGTTTTGTTTTCGTGGAGGGTGATGGAGATCTGCACTGCCAAGACCCTGGCGAGGGAGAAGTAGCCACTGACTTTCACGGGAGCCAGTGGGAGCAGGGAGAGGGGAGAGGACTCACGCCAACGTCCTGAGCTCTGCAGGGCTGTTCCCGCGAGCGAGCTCACCCCCAGTCACAGCACAGCTTTTCCCTTTTCCCCTAAGCAGAGGCGAACCTCTCTGATGGCATTCACCACCACGTTCCCCTAATCGGGAGCCTCATGGGATGATGAGCCCTTGGGACTCTTGGTCCCCATGAAAGCAGACCTCCTGGCAGCGACAGGAACGCGTCCCCCGCTGCGGCAGCGCAGCCCATCTCGGGGGGAATGCGTTGGCGGCTCCACACAAGCCAGAGCACCATAAAAATAACCGCTCTGCCTCCCAGAGATGATTCATGATGCAGCTGAAGGGCTTCCCTCCTGCTATTTCAAATCGCTGGAGGAAGAGCTGATGATAGCTCGTGTAGGGGCTCTCATTTCCGAAGAGCACATGACGGTTTTGGGAAGCGGCCCTGGGCGCTGCCCAGTTTTATGAGCTATCTGCACCACGGATGCTTTTCTTTGCCAGGCGAAGCAGACACAGTCTGGGAGATGGGCACCCTGCACGCATCCTGTGTGTCCCACGGGTCCTTGGCTCCTGTTCGCTCCCATGCCCCATTCCTTGGCAGCAATCCCGCAGGCACCGTGCCCATGCAGCTCTGGGGGTGCCTGGTGCCATCGGGCTGCAGTGGCAGCTCCGTTGCCACCAGCAAATTCTTCAGCGGGCAGGCAGGCATCTGCAGGCTGAGCTGTGCTGGATGCAGACGTGGTGCTGAGCCCAGGCAGTTGTGGGGTCTCCTGTCCCCACACTGCGAGGTTTGGACTCAGAAGAGTCAGGACACACCAACAATGGGATGAGCTCTGGGACAGACTGGCAGTGGCTGGGGGGGGGGGCAGCATTACATGCTGACACAGCATAACATCAGCCAAAATTCATACCTTTAATCTAATCCCTCTTGGAGGGTCCAGGCAGGTTTTGGGGTCTCTATAGGTCCCTGTGGTGTCTGGCCTGGGATGCCGTGCCCCTGACAGCACTGCCTGCTGCCCGCCTTGCTTCTGCATCCCATCCCATGCTTCAATATTTCCATTTCCAAAACCCACGCATGTTTCTTCCCCAAGGAATTAACTTGGGGAGGTGAAGAGCAGCATCGTTTATTCACAAGATGCTGGTAAGTGGGTGCTTCATTTAATTCCTGTTTGTTTGTGGCCCTGTGCCCTCCTGACCTCAGGAGCAGAGCAGAGTCCTGGCATTCCCCCCACAGTCGGGGGATCCCCCTTCACTGCCCACGGCTTTTGGGGTGCGCTTTGGAATCGCCTGTGGAAGGAGCTGGGGGCACCCCCTGCCTCCTGCTGCTGCCAGTTTTGCCCTGGACTTTGCCCTCAGGAATTTTCAGCTGCTCCTTCCCACGCTGACACTCATGCTGACCTCGAAGTGTCCTGATAGGAACCGAGAATAGGTTTTAGCAACACAAGGGTGCAGAAAGCCCCCCCAGGGCTTTGCTTTGATCCATGGCAGAGCCTTGCTGTTGCCCAAGCCCCTTCCCACGCTCCGTGGCAAGGTACTCCCCTGTCCCCACTGCCGTAGGGCCTCCCTTACCTGTTTCTCTAGTACCTGACTCCATTTTAGTTTGATTTGATGCTGGCCATGCTCGACAGCTCCAGCTCTTGGACCTCTTTCTGCCTCCCCAGGGGCAGGGGACAGCCCCGTGCTGCGTGGGCTGGGTGCTCCCCAGAGCCCTCGGATACCCTCACCAGGTCCCAGGTGCACTTTTTCTGCCTCTTTTCCCTTGCACATACCCGGAGCAGCTGGGAGATGGTAAAAATAACTGTGATGCATCCTTGCAACTGCTCCGGGCTCAGCTTGCAGCCGGTTCTCCCTGGGGGAGGAGAATGAGCAAACTACACGTGCTGCAGCTCAGTCACGTTGGGCTAGGGAAGCTTCTTGATTTTGAGACTTGTGTTAAGAGTATCCAAGCTCAGCAAAACAGGTTGCCCTCAAGAGGTCCATGTGTAGGGGGAGGTGGTGCAGATGGAGGCAAGCCTGACTGGTATTTTGCATCCAAGTGAAACTGGTCCATGTCCCTTTCTGGAAGTAAAATCCTGGGATACTCAGAGGAATGGGAAGAAGCCCACCACCCCAAGAAGTCACCATGTACCCCAGGAGCATCATGAAGCTCTGCCCAGGCATGGCTTTACCTAGTTTATTTATCTAATTATCCGTTTCTTGTTTGTGAAAACCTTTGAGGACAGGCTGGGGTACAGACATGGATGTCTGTCCTATTTCGCTCTGCATGTACAAGCCTCTGGGTGCCTGTGCCGGGCAGGGAATGAGGCAGCTCCTGCCTCCTCCTCCTCCTCTTCCCCAGACAGTCTGTCCCCCACTCCTGCGGCCCGTGCTGGGGCAGGAAGGGGTTTTACATCTGCTCAAGGTACTGGGGACCCAGTGCCATGGGAACAACCCCCTCAGGCCTGGCGTGCCACCCTGGAGGGAAGCAGCACTGAGCAAAGGCTGCATGGCATTGTGGGCATGGAGGAGCTGTCACCACCAGCTAGTCATTTGAAACCAGCCTGGGTGGCAGGGGCACCTCCCCAGGGCTGTCTGCAACCACAGTGGGACCACTCATGGCAAACTAGGCAACCAGGTCTACCGTGGGGCCAACTGCAACCACACTGAGAGCACCCATGGCCAAACTAGGGTCAAGTGGGGCGACCAGGTCTACTGTGGGGCCAACAGTGACCATACTGGGAGCACCCATGGCCAAACTAGGGTCAGCTGGGGCCTACCCTGGGGCAACCAAGGCTACTGTGGGGCCAACAGTGACCACACTGGGAGCACTCATGGCCAAACTAGGGTCAACTGGGGCAACCAAGGCTACCGTGGGGCCAACAGTAACCACAGTAGGAGCACTCATGGCCAAACTAGGATCAACTGGGGCAACCAAGGCTACCGTGGGGCCAACAGCGACCACACTGGGAGCACTCATGGCCAAACTAGGGCCAGCTTGGGCCATTTGGGGCAACCAAGGCTACCCTGGGGCCAACAGTGTCCATACTGGGACCACCTATGGCCACACTGGGACCATCTGGGGCAAACAGGGCTACGCTTTGGCTAACAGGGACCACGCTGGGGACCATCTGTGGCCAAACTGAGACCAACTGGGGCAACCAAGGGTGGTCACAGCACCCAGGGCTGCACTGGAGCCAACTGGAAGCACAGTGGGGTGCCCTGCACCCAACCGGGACCAGCCCCGGGCGGCCCCACGGCCCAGCGGTGCCCACGCGTCCCCGCCCCCGGCGGCCCTCACCGCGCCGCCCCGCCCCTCTCTCCCCTCCGCCAACGACAGGCACCGCCCCCGAGGTGCCAATCACCAGCCGCGGCCAACCGGATTGCCGCGGGGGCGGGCCCTCAGCGGAGGCAAAACTGCCGGGCGGCTGCGGGGCCGCTCGGGTGAGCCCAGCTCCTCGGTGCGTTTCCTACGGCAGCGCAGCCTACGGCAGCGTACCGCGGGGCACCGCACCGCGCCCTACGGCAGCGTACCGCGGGGCACCGCACCGCGCCCTACGGCAGCGTACCGCGGGGCACCGCACCGCGCCCTACGGCAGCGTACCGCGGGGCACCGCACCGCGCCCTACGGCAGCGTACCGCGGGGTACGGCACCGCAACCTACGGCACCGCAGCGCTCCCTACGGCAGCGTACCGCGGGGCACCGCAGCGCCCGCGCCCGGCCGGGCCATGATGGCGTGCGCCGAGCTGCTGGCCGTGTGTCTGCTCTCAGCCGACCGCGGCCCCGCGCCCCGCCGCCAGCCGCTCCCCATCTTCCACGACGTGAGTACCGCGGGGCGAGCCCCCGTCCCACCCCCGCGGCGAGCCCGGGCCGGGCGGGCCCGCTGCCTCCTCAGCGGGAGCCGTGCTGGTGCTGCACACGCAGGTGTCAGGGTGAGGCCCTTCCCGCCTGCCCTGGCTGAGGAGCCAAGCCCAGGGGATAAGTGAGTGGGCCCGGCTGCTGCTTTGGGCCTGAAGCTGTGAATCAAGGCGTGGGTCGTGATGTCTTAAATAATACTCGGTGTTGTATATTTTTTTCTGAATTGTGGGCCTCTGAGTGGCTAGAAATAGCCCGCTCCTTATCAGGAGCTGGCTGTCGTGACTCCTGGAGCGGGAGCTGTGTGTGTCTGGCAGGAAAGCTGCAGAAGGTTCTGTGTAGCTGTTAAAAGCCGTGGGATCCCACAGGCAGAGCGTGTATGTTTCCCGCTGCAGCCCCCATCCCTGCCCGCTCCTAACGCACCAGGAGTTGTGGAGGAAGATGCTCTTTGCGCAGGTTGGAGGGCAGCCAGGCATCCCTGTGTCTACGCGTGGCTTGGGGAAATTGAAGACGCGGATAGTGGCTGTCTTCATTTTTACAGGACAGGTCCTGGCACAGTGCTTCCCATCACGCCGTGTCCCCTCAAGCCCCGTGGCGAGGGTACCTGTGTGCGCGCTGGGGCCCGGGCTCTGAGGGAGGCAGCATCTCTCCCCATGTGGCACCCAGCAGGGTGGGCAGGCAGCTGTGGGCCGGGCCACCTCCCAGGGCGAGTGGCACAGCCTGGGTCAAAGCCCAGCTCCCCCCATGAAGCACATCAGAGGTGCTCAACCCCCTTGTTCTTGGTTGTCTTTTGTGTGAGCTGCAGGGTGCCTGGGTCGGGTGGGCAGTGCCCAAATCTCCCTGGTGGGCTAGCAATCCTTGCATTCCCCTGCATCCAGCACTGCTGGGGTCTAAGTCACCTTGTGGAGCCAAGGAAATGTGTGAGTGGAGGTGCTGCCCCTGCCCTGCCGCAGGGACTGGGGAGGAGAAAGCAAGTGAGGGTTAAGGGCAAGGGTTGCTGTGGTGCCCCACCATCTGGACAGCACAGGATGGTGCCAGGTGTGGTCTCTGTCCTGTCCCAGTCCGGGTGGTGCCACCCCTATGTCCCAGTTCATCCTGGAGGAGGGGAGCAGGAGATCTCAGGTAGCACTTTGGGAAAGTGAATGCAATGCCTAGTCCGGTCCTCTGTCTGGGAGACCTCCTGGCATCACTAGGGAGCAGCTGGAAAGCACAGCTCCCTTGGCCGCAGTGGTGCTCACAGCTTCCAGCTGGGGGTCAGGGTCTCTCTCCTGCCGTGTGGGGATTTCAGACTGCAAGGCTCTCCAGCCAGCATCATTAACCGCACTAATTACTTGGCTGATGGAAGATGGGCTGGAGAGGAGTTGGTGGTGACAGCTGTGTTCCAGCTCAGCTCCTCTGGGCAGTCGCCGAATCCCACATCTATCCCTCAGGACATCATTAAGCCAATTAAAATGGGAAGTGTTAACAGCACTAGCGGCTGCTTTCCGGGTTCTGGCGTCTTCCCTTCCTCTTCCCTATGGCTCTCTTTGCTCCTGCCTCAGCTCCAGAGATTGGCAGGGTGAGTTTAATATCTCTGCTTTTGGGTTTGATCAGTTGGCTGGTCTCCAGCTGCCCCACTCCCGGCTTGTCAGGATGAGCTGCCCCCCGTTGCAGCGAGGCAGGATCCCAGCCTGCTCCTAGGGCAGCGGAAAGGCAGAGCTGCCCACGACAGATCCTGGGTGGCAGCCGGTGCTTCCCCTGGGACTGGAGCTGCTGTCTCCCTGCCAGCAGATCGCCTGCCTTCAGGAGAGGTGAGGAGGAGGAGGGCTTTGCCTGAGTACTGCGCCTGCAGCAAAGCATCTGACTGCAGTGCTGCCATTGCAATTGTTTCTCTGTGCAGACATCTCAAGCCTCTGGGAGATTCGTCCCCCAAGGCTGGTGCTTGAGGCTTGCTTACTCCCCTCTTGGTGTATGAGAGGTTCAGAAAAGCTGCTTGGACAGCCCGCCATTTATCGCCAGCTCCCAGCCACAGCCCACATTAGCCTGCAGTGGGTGGATGAGCACGGTGTCCCCAGGGTGGCTGTGCCCTCCCCAGCAGCTGGTGTGTCCCTGGCTGCATGTCCAGCAGCCACACTTGCTTCCAACTCTGCAGACAGGGAGAAGCCCTATAATGTCCCTCCTTCCCAGGGTGGGGGGGGTTCCACCCCCAAATAAAGGCACTCGGTGGGGCTGCAGCTGCTTGGACCCAAGTCCAGGAGCCGAGGGCTAAGGGAAATGTCTCACGCTTGAGGCAGTGTCCCTGGGTTTCTGTGCAACCCTGTAGGTCCTCTCCAGCAGCCACTGCAAACCTGATCCTATTCCCAGCCTGGCTTTGCATCACTTTTCCCTGGCTTTGCATCACTTTTCCCTGGCTTTTTCTGAGGGCTGCCATCTGCACTGGGTACTTGCACCAGGAGCAGTGCTTACCTGTCATTGCCATGCATGTGCCTGCACCCTGCGGGGGCTGGGATTCGCCCCGTGGAGCGTGGAAGTGGCTCTGCACTATTTTTGCTTGGCTGGAGTTGGATCCTGCCTCGCACACAGGAGCCATCAGTGTTTTCTGGTGCGTGCAGGGCTCACCGAGGCACCCCTCTGCAGCCGGGGTCGGCTGAGGACGGGCTCGCTGGAGGCGGTGAGGAGCCCTGCCATCCCTGGGAGACATGGAGCAGATGTGGCCTCACCTCGCAGGGCTCTCGCAGCTCCGCTGCTTGCACCACATTTATTTTGAGCTTCAGGCAGGTGTCAGGTGTGCACTGGCAGTGCTTTTGTAATGCACCCCTGGAGCAGAAGATCCCATGTGTGAGGAAGAAGCATCAACTCTGTTTGCTGAGGTTCATGCTGAATCCAGGATGGACTCACCATAGATCAGAGACCTTTTCAGCCCTATAAGATCCCCCCTGAAATTGTGTTCTCCCTCTTAGTCAGCAGACGGACGCTGCTGAGCAAGGCCAGCCTGTAAGTGGGAAATGTTTGGCCCCACTTGAATCTGCATTTGCTCTGTGCCTGGGTGACATTCGACTGTCTTTGGGATGAGCTAGCTGCCCTCAGTGACTTTTGGAGTCATAGAGATGTCGTTGCATGGGCTGTGTGTCCCTCTGGTGACAGAGAGCTCTGCAGGACTAAACCTTTGCCTTGATGTGGCGTGCTGGTGGCAGGGTCCCACGGGCATGTGGGACTCACTGGTGCTGCCCCTGCCTGCAGGCAGAGCTGCCCCTGCAGCCGGGGAGCCCCGGCATGTGTAACCCTGCAGCCCTCAGACCCCTGATGCGCAAGCGAACCCTTTCGCCTGGAGAAAGTTTTGCTTTAAAACCCAGAGAAATCCCCAGCGTTTGGGAGCTGCGGGTTCCTGTCTCAGCTGGTAGCACTAAAGATCCAGAGCGCATCCAGGGAGTCCTACGGGGCGTTCAGAGAGCGTCTTGCCTGCTTTCCTGCGAGGGGAGCAGCCTGACCGGCTGGAAGCCCGCACCCCAGAGGGACAGTTACCTAACACTGGTCAGCTCTGGGCAGCCTCTGCTCCCTGCAGCAGCTTGGGTCGGGAGGAGCTTGCCTTGCTCAGAAGAGCGTCCACTGAGGAGGTGTCCCTGCTCCTGGTTTCGGTTATGAGGAAGGACCAGGGAGCTCCCTGCTGGGACCAGCATCTGAAAAGCCTCTGCCCAGTTGCAAGCCAGCGGCTTCCTCAGGAGTGAGCAGCGGAAGTTTCTCTGGGCAGCTGTTTACCTCAAAGCAATTTTTCAGAAGCATTTCAGCGGCTAGGTATGGGCTTGTGCCCTCAAAGTGCGCAGCAAAGCTATCAGTGAGCGATGCAGAAGGGAGCTGGGGGTGGAGGGGGCAGCTGGCAGCAGCGCATCTTCCTGCGGCAGGGAGCAGAGCTGGGCCGGGGGCGGTTCTAGCAGCAATCTCCGCTTTGCAGGTGTGTGAAAAAGAATATAACAAAGTCCGCTTTCCCCTTTTCCAGCCCTTTCCTCATTCCTGATCTTTCTTCAGACCTTCAGATTTCTTCATCAACCAGGACAATTAAGAAGAACGATGAAAAAGAAGAAAGTTGCCACACAACTTTCTGTCATTGACTCCGTTAGGATGTGCTGGCCAAAACCTTGTACTGTCTGGTCTGACAAGATGTTCCCGGGCTTCGGAAATGATGCTGATTCTCAGCAGCATCAGCCCCAGAGCTTCCGATAATTATTGGTGAAAGAGGAGCCAGGCAGGGATGAGAAGCCCCAGCTTTCTTGTGGGCCACAGGGAGAAGCCTTGTGATTGGGAACACAGGTTGAGAACCTGAATTGGAGCAGCTCTCCAACTGTGCTCTGTGGCAGAGCTAGTTACAGATTAATTAATTCATTAATTATTAATTACAGTGGGCGTGCACGTCGAGGTGTCACGGGAAGGATTGTTGTGAAGGGTGATGACAAAGTCCAGGACAAGAGCTGCTACTCGGTGCAGATGGTTGAAGTGTCAGTGGTAATGCACAAAGTACTCCCGTTATGAAGTGGTTTTATGCTTAATGTTCTTTCGTTTAAAAGATCTGAAAAATTAAACACACTTTCCATCACAAGGGTGTAGCGAAGCCTTTTCTGCTTTGTCTCCCTCTGTGTTCTCTAAAAGATGCTTGCTGTGAGTGTGGACTCACTCAGGCGGCAGCGGCTGTGCCGAGAGCTTTGTACATTGAAGGCAAGAAATAGTTTTAATCATTTGCAAAGCAGATTTTCCCCAGAGCAGCCTATGCAGCACTGGCCTGTGCAGCCCTGGCAGCAGGGGCTTCCGCACAGTCCCCCAGGCTCCAGGAGGTGGTTTTCCTGTGGTGGCAGTGCCGGGGGCTCTCTGGCTCACCGTTGAGCTGTGCTGCTCTGCCTGCTGCCTCACTAAACCCTGTTGCATTTTCTTTTGCAGATTTTCCGGAGAGCTGACAAGAACGGTGAGTGCATTGTTCTTGCTGCTACCTCCCCTTCCCTGCCTGGGCCTGGGCGAAGCAGCATGGCCTGTCACTGCTGGGATGTTTGGCTGAAAGGGTGAAGGAGGCTAAGGGCAAGCAGCTCTCTGGCTGCAGGAAAAAAGCTTTTCTGCTTCACCTGGAGGAAAAGGCACTGGAGCAAAGGGCCTGGCCAGGGGCTGGGGAAGTGGGCTCTCCCAATTTGCTGTTCCTGTGCCACAAAGGGCAGACCCTCCAAGCCCTTCTCCTGCCTGCATGCACATGATCTCTCCTCTGTGCTGCTAGCAGTGAGGAGGGAAGGCTGTGCAGCAGGCAGCCCAGGGACAGTCAGACTTCTGCTCCATCTCTTCAGTCTCTGCGCTCAGTCCAGCGTTTTCCAGGTGCCCCCGGTTGTGTGGCCCTGTTCCTGGATGCCCAGTGGAGCCCCTGGCATTTGCGAGTTAGGCTGTGCTACTTGGTTTTTAATCTGGCACCCATAAACCAAGAAGTCCACAAGCACAAGTCGTTTCTCTGAGCCTTCCCACCCCCTCTTGGGCTCTTCTCCTCCACAGTAGCTTGCAGGCTCCAGGAGCTCCTTTTGTTGCAGATCAGAATGCAGCCCAGGAGCTGAAGTCATCCACAGAGAGGAAGGAAAAAGCTTTTGAGTCAATGGAGAGATTTTCTTTCCAAAAAAACCTGACTCTGTCCTCACTGTGCTATTTGTAATGGACTCTACTTGGACAGTCACCTGAGTACAGAGTGTCTGCATGTGTTTCGGAAAACATTGCAGTGGGGCCTTTTGGAAGGGGCTAAAATTCCCACCTGAAATTCCAGCAGCAGTGGTCCTGCTTACCGGCACTCCTGGGTTTTTGATGGGGATGGGTGGGACATGTTTTCAATGAGAGATCTGCTCTAATTATTATGCACAACACGCCCAACTGTCCCACGCTCCTGGTAGGGAGGCTGCTGGGAGGATCGCTGGGGCCTGTGTGCTTCTTTCTGCAGATATATAATTATTCTTCCCTTTTATTTAAATGCAGATGATGGGAAGCTGTCATTTGAGGAGTTCAAGAACTATTTCGCTGATGGGATCCTGAGCTCGGAGGAGCTGTGGGAGTTGTTCAGTGGCATTGACAGGCGTCATTCAGAGTAAGTACTGTGGTGGCACAGAGGAGAGGAGACGAAGGAGGATATAAAACTGCTTGACTGTAGATGGAGGACATTTGGAGGCGGGTGTGATAAATAGTCAGGGGGGAGATAAACCTATCTCTTGTAACACGCAGATGTTAAAATCCATTGAACACCAGCTACAAGCATTGGTGATGCGAGAGGCCAGACATTTTGAGAACAGTTGTTATCAGATTTACTGTGGTTTTGTAAAAGCAAGCATCCATTTAAAATTACATGAAGTTAGTTTGAAAAATGTATTCCAGAAATATACGCTCTGTAGAGCAGGTTGTGTGTCGGCAGGAGGAGCGTGTGGTGGTGTGAGGACGATGCACAGACTGTGCAAAGTTGCAGACTTTGCCACTGCTGACACAGGGAACTGCTTTTCACTTACATAAGAGCTGCTTTCCACCAGAAGTGGGCCTTATGAGTGTAACTGTGAATTTAGGCCAGCTACTTTTAAAAAAAGAAACCCCCAAAGAACAGGAAAAGTAATTGCACTTAGCCTCAGTCTCCTCTTGACTGGTGCTATCTAGAGGAGTGTGTTGGGCTTGGCTGGGTTTCTCATTCCAGTCTTTCAGGTAGGGGTCCCTCTGCCCTGCTGGCCCCCCATGGGTGAGCGTATCTTGGCACTGGGAGAAACTGGTTGCTGATAAATTGCATGTCTGGGGACTGCCTGTTCAAATGGGGGGGTGCTGGTGGGAGAGAAGGTGGCTGCGGCTTACTGCCAGTCTCAGGCAGCAGGCTTGGCTCTGGCTTGTGCCACTTCCCTGGCACCCCAGGAAGCATTTCCCGCACCTCTCGGACGCCCCTCGGCCAGGGCAGGGTCTGAGCAGGTCCCCACCAGGGAGAGGTAACTCAGAGCAGCCTTAGCTGCACACACTGGTCCGAGGGCTTTGCAGGGAGCCAGGGCAGTGGCACGGAGCGCCTGTGCCATGTCGAGATGCAAACAGCCACTGACAGCAGATACCCAGTGGTCCCTGGCTGCAAGTCCCCACATCATCCACCCAGGCCTGGGGGAGTGGGGGCGATTGACTCCTGCCAGGTGGTGGGTTTAGTTGAAGCTCCCACTTTAGTGATGGGGCAGAGAAGTGGGCTGGTGTGTGCAGCCCCTGGTGCCGCTTTGTTTTAAGCCTGGCTGCCTGTTGCTGCCTGTCCTGCCAGTTGGGCTTGTTGGATGTGGGCAGCAGGAGGTGTCTCCTGAAAATACCTCTGTCTCTCTGGGCTGTAATCCCAGGGAGTTAGCAGTGAGCTGTTCCCTTTCATCTGCAAATGCTCCTTTCCTCTCCCTCAGATTTGGGGTGACTTGGGAGTCACCCCCCATACAGTAGCACTGGAAAACACGTGTTGCAGCAAAGCAGAGAGTTCTAACTGTGCCCTTAACTGAATAGTGAAGATCTCCTGGTTTAGCATCGCTTTCAGGGTGGGCTTCTGCCATCCATCTAGAGCAAATAAATAGGAGTGACCGAAGCGAGTGGGCTGTCTGAGAGCCATGTACGGCCCTGCCTGCAGCAGTGCTCTCTATAACTCATTACCCATAATGACGGTGTGGTAGCTATGACAACGTGGCAGTTGCAGCATTGAGCTGGTGACATCTATTAGCAGGGCATGACCATCGGGTCTTTGATCTCTCTCTGACATGAAGAGCGGAAGGGACCCTGCGGGCAGAGCTGCTTTCCAAATTCCTGCATTCAGTGACTTTAAGCAAATGCAGGAGACCCCGTCCCTCCAGCCCTGCAAGGATGCTCTCATTTCTGCAGGAGCAGGAGGGAAAGTCCATCCCCGAGGCCATGCCAGGTGTGGTTCTTGCTTCTGTCCCTGGCTGGGACATGGTCCGTGCACACGTCTGTAGGGTCAGTGCATGGGACAGCTTCAGTGTGAGCAGGCGGGAGTGGGATGGGACATGGGAGGTGGCAGCAGGGAACTGTACATGATCTCTTCAGCTTCATCCCCAGCCCATGGAGGAGGAGATGGGACCTCCCAGAGAGGGAGCCTGGCGCTCAGCTTCTTGTCTGGTAAGAGACATCCTGCCCCCTGCAAATGTGAGGCAGCACTGCGTCTGCCAGAGTGCTCTGATCCTGACCCAGAGCTGTGTGCCTGCTGGGACGAGGGACGCGGGGCGACAGGCCTGTCCCCAGAGACACATGACCTTGTCTGTCCTCAGAGCTGCCCAGGGACTGCTTGCCCACTGCACAGTGACAGGTAACAGAAATCAAGCAGTGCTCATCATGCTGGGCCCTGTAGAGGTCTGCGTAGCTCTGCGTGTAGAGCTGGACTTTCTGGCATTTGTTTTTGGGGTGTGCGGGGGGACTTGCTCCTTTGTACAACATCTGGTGTCTTGTAAGGGCTGTGCTGGTGCCCTGCTGCCCACTGGATGGGGGATCTGGTCTGGACAGCCCTCCAGGACAACCTCCAGGCTGCCTGCTTGCCTTGCACTTGCAGGAACTTAATATTTTAAAGAGGTGGCTGAAATTTGCTGCCAGATTCAAGAGTTATGACCCGAGGTAACACTCAAAGTATTACAAAGCTGGAAAGCAACTACAAGCTCTACAGACATATCTGGTGTGCTGCTTTCATGTCCTGTAGCTTTTCTGGTGGTGGGAAAGTTTGACTGTTAATCCAGTGGGTGGATTTGGCCACAAGGGTGCTGTATTCATCAGGTCTAGGCTGAAACTTGTGTTTTTGTCAGTGCCAGCCTGGCCCAAGGAGACAGAGTAACAGAGACATTTATACCCAGGCGCTCTCCGTGTCTGGGTAACAGAGTGCTGCCCAGACACATCCTGACCCTCACCCAGCACTGTGAACCTGCAGTTGCTCCCCTGGGTCCCAAAGCTGACATCTGGGAAGATGAGTGTTTCAGAGGTCTCGTACATTACTTGTTCCCCTTCCAGAGAGCCCGTGGCACCACACTCTCCTTTTCTCCCCATCCTTCCCATGCAATCTTTGCTCCACCTCCCATCCACCCACAGTTCAGGTGGGATGCCGTGGCCTGTGTGTCTGTCACCTCTGTTGTGCTTGGTTCAGATTTTCCCCATGAGTCTTCTTTGTCCTGCGTTTCTGAAAATTGTTCCATTTTGGCTTTAAAATATCTCCTTCCTCTGATTCTTGGACGTGAAAAAAATTGTTGAAACTGAATTCAACTCTGTATTGCAATTTGGTACAACATCTAGGTTCACTGCTTCATTTAGCTTTTCAGAAAGCTCCACACCGGCTGTGACACTGCTGCAGAACAGAAAGATTCATCTTCCTGGAAAAAATGCATTTTCATCCACTGAAACGCCTGAGTGAAAAGAGACAAATGTGTTTGAAGGGATGAAAAAGCTCCGTTGCTGCAGAAGCGTCTCGGGAGATGCACAGTGCAGTGTGCCCTCTGAGCAGCTGCGGGTCCATCTGCAGCCCAGCCTGGTGGGATGGCAGCAGATCCCAGGGGCTCACAGGGACAACTTAGCGGAGAGTCGGCTACAAAGGGCTTTGACCTGGACGTTGTAGTGTTGCATAGGTTGTGTGCCTCCTGCTCTTTGCAGGGGACTATGAAGCCTGCCCAGGAGAGTGTCGCATGGGCCTCGTGTGTCCTTCTGCTCTGCATCTGTTGGGGAAAATTTAGAAAAATAAGGTCTGGCAAATCCTTCTTTGCGTGAGACTAGTCAGGCAGTGGTGGCAGGAATTGGGTACAGACTGCCCAGAGCCTGTGTCTGACCTTGAGTGACAAGTGAAAGAGGTAGGAGTGCTGACTTGCTGGTTTTTAAAAACTCTCAGTGGAAATAACCTCAAGCATCTGGTTCTGTGGAAGAAGGGACCTGTGTGAACTTTCTTCCCCTCTCTTCAGCCAGAGACTCAGAGCTGCAGCATCTGCCAGTCTCTGAATGATACAGAGTGACTGAAACACTGGGTTGCACTGGAGAGGTTGGGAGACCAGATCTGTGATGGCAGCAAAGGTTCCCAACATGATAAATGATAAAAGAATTCCCATCTGCTTTGCTGAAGCTGATTGCTGTTTTCTTGCATAAATTCCAGGTGCGTTCTGACAGAATCCCGACAGCATAATGATGACAAGATCCTTCATCATCAGTTCAAGCTTAATTACAGTTAATCAGTGGTTTGAGCACAGTCAAAATACAGCTATGTGGAAATGTGGAGAGTCTCGGGAGGAGTGCTTTGGAGGCAGAGGATGGCCCTTCTCTTGGAGTGGGAGAAGGGATGGCAGAGAGAGGAGTGGAGCAAAGCCTGCTGCCCCGTGGCAGCCTTGCAGAATGGGTTGGGATTTGGCATGCAGGTTCTTTACATGAGCTCCTCCTGGTTTCTGGTATGAAGTAGCTTCTGGTAGCATGAAAATAGCACCATTGGCCCTATGATTTTCTTTCTGTGCTCTGTCCTGCCCCTAACTGTGCCCTGGGGGCTGCCACAGGGTGTGGAACGTGGGAAGAGGTGGCCATGCAGGGTTGCTAGTGGAGCAGGCTGCATTGGGGAGGGAGCAGATCTTCCACCGGACAATTCCCAAAGGGCTGATTTTTGCCACAAAATCTTGGCAATTGGTTCAGTGTTTAACTATTCAGTATTTTAGTGATTGATGAGTTAATGTTTGTTTTTAAGCAGCAAACAGACAAGATAGAGTTACTAATAATCTCTGGCCTTTCCTTAGAAGCCATAGAGTTGGTGTTAATCGTAGCTCTTTGTGACATGGGCGCCTGCTCACAAGAGCCGAGTTGGGGAACTGGGCAGTAGGCAGAGCTGGTGGCCCCTTCTTGGTGAAACCAGTCCCAGCCCCAGGTTCTTACTGGGGACACATGTGAATGCCCGGTTAACACATGCATTAGATGGTTCACTGTGTATTTTGTTATCTCATGTCCATATGCCCTCTTTTGTGATTTTTACCCATCTCTTGGATGGGAACCGGTGGTTGCAGTTACTACTCCGGGGCACAGGTCTAACCAGCAGCGCTGCGGATGCTGTGGTGCCAAGTCTTTTGTGGCAGTGCAGCAGCAGTAGCTCTGCAGGCTCTAGGCAGCTTTCAGAAGTGGAAAAATTAAGAAGGAGCAAGACATCTTTCCAATTTAAATTTGCACTTCGGACCCCGGTCACTCTATCTAGCAGGGCTGTGGTTGGATTCATGGAGCTGCTCAGAGATGGGATCAGCAAAGTTTGATGGAGTGGTGTTGGCAGAAGAAGGGACTGTGGTTTTGCTGATTATCTGTATTGCGTCTCAAGGGAAACACTATTTTTTAATCCACTTTAAAAACTGTCTGCAGTTCCAGGACAGTGCGCCAGAGCCCTGCCTCAATCAGCTCCTGCGGTAGGTGTTTAAAATAGATGAGCCAAATCACATCCTAAAATTTCCCGGCTCCGTTGCCTAAGGTGGTGCCTGATGCAATTAACTAAACAGAGGGGTCTGCAGCCCCACCGCTGCGGGTCTGCGATGATGTCTTGCACCAAAATATTGTTATGATTGAAGCACTGCCTGTTATTAAAAGCGGAAACCCAGCAGAGAGACAGAAATCAGCCTTTGATATTTGGGGAAAAAAAACTGTAGGAAGATTTTAAATTATTACACCTGGCATGGCATTTTGGACACTTCACACACTCTCCTCTGATTTCTACCTCGGGGTGTCTTTGCCTCTTTGCCCTGTGAGCAGTGTCAGAGGGGGGACAGGGCGATGCAGCCGTGGTTGGACTTGCTCTGGGCAGCAGCACTGCAGCCCTCCTCACACTTGGAGCCCAGCAAACTCCAGGTATCACTGGTTCCTCCATGTGTGACACCACTTAAACACTTAAACTCTCTTTCATGCTCTCTTCCACTTTCCCAATCAGGATTAAAAATGGTCTTAATCATTTAGGGGATTATGAGACAGCAGAATTTCTTGAGCAGAGGCTGATTAGAATACACGATATCCTGGGGCATTTCCCTGCAGGTGATGCTGGGCATCGCAAGCAGCTCTGCCTCTGTGGCTTTGGCCACCTGAGCAGATCCCACATGAACCCATGGTTCTGCTTGACACCCCTTCCCAAAAATGTGGCTGCTTCTGGACATTTCCTCCTCCCTCTCCACCACAGCAGCACCTTTATTAGCAACAGGATGGATCTGTCCAAGCCCTGCAGGGATGCCAGCCTTAGTTCTTCAGTGCAGTGCTCTCTGTTACCAAAAAGGGGCGTGGGGGTGGCCCCCACCTCCAGGTTTTTGGACCCAGCTCCCTGCTTTAATGGCCTTCACAGCAGGAACAACCCCTCTCAGGAGCTGTGAAGCCACCCAGCCCCCTGCCCAGGGAGCCTGAAGGCAGCCCCACATCACTTGGGCTCTGAAGATGCTCTGGAAGAGGAGGAGCAGCCGGGGGCTCCCATGGGGCAGGTGGGAGAGGAGGGGCCCTGGTGCCACGGGGCAGGCACGAGAGAGGACCTGGGCTGAGGTCAGGGGAGACACGAGGAGGGAGTTGTGGCTGAATGCTTTGCACCTTTGAGGGAAGAGGTCGGCTTGAAGAAGCAGCTTCTGGGGCTTGTCAGCTCCAGGGCTCAGAAACGGGGCTGCCAGCCCAGGGGTGCAGGACACTGCCCGCCTCCCCTGACCTCCCTCCCAGCCCCGTCCTGCTCTCACAGGCACTTTCCCAGCACACTGCAGCTCCAGGAGATATTGGTGGAGCAGCTTTGCTTTCTTCTTCAGCCCCCGAAGCAGAGGCAATGCTCTGCAAGCCGTGCCTGGGTGCTGCAGGTGCTGGGCATGGCTCCTGAACTGCTGGCTCTAAACTTTTGCAGCTTTTTGTTTTCCTAATGCAGCTTTTGAAAATATGTGGGAGGAGCAGTAAATCCTCAAGACGTTGCTCACCACAACTGTTTCTCCCCAGCCAGCCCCACTGTCTAACAAGAGTTTGTTTTTCTCTTTTTTTGCAGTAATGTGGACACGGAGAAATTGTGTGGTAAGTCGGGTGATAATCCTGCCCCTTGAGGGTCTGTGGTGGGGCTTTGTGCATGTCTGACCGGGGAAAGACTGAGCAGTCAAGTGGCATTGACAGTCCCTGTGCCTCAATCCCAGCACAGAGGGCATCCATGCTTTTTTCCAAGGGAATGGGACATTTTGTCCCTGGAGATAGGGAAGAACTCTTCATTTCAGTCCGGGTGGGTGCGTGACTCTGGAGAGGGATGTGAATGCCCCCCTGCAGCACTGGGCTAAGTGCGGGAAGCAGCTGGTTCAGGGCAGGCAGAGATGGAAGCACTCGGAAAGCTCACCATGGTCTTTTCTCCTGCTTTAGATTATTTCTCAGCGTATCTTGGAGAATACAGGAATGTGCTTTCTGCCCTGGAAGCCCTCAACTCTGCAGTCCTGGCAGCCATGGACAAAACCAAGCTGGTAAGGATGGGACCGTGGGCGGGTGCGTAAAAGAAGCTGTGGTGATCTTAGCTGCTTGCTTAGTGTTAAACTTGGGTATAAGAGGCAGCAGATATGGTACCTCCCAGGTCACCGGGGTTGGCTGTGTGGGTTTCTCTTGTCTCCATGTGCAGCGAGCGCCGCAGCAACACAGCCTGCAGTGTGCCTGGAGGAGAAGGGTAGAGCTAGTGCTTTTGTGCTCTGGAGATATCTTCCTCGCAGGGCTCTGGCAGTGGTTGTTTCAACAGCTCCTTGCAGACCACATGCAAGGTCCTGTCTGGGGACACTGTTGCTGGCAGCATGGCTGGTAATCTGTTGTGTCTCTGAGCAAAAGCAAGGTCTTTTCCACAAAGCAGCGTGGCGCAAAATGGGGACTCCGGGGTTGAGCCTGCTCTGGACTGACCCCAGCAGCTTATCCTCAGCGCAGCCTGTGCTCACAGCCACAAAATTGGCTGCTGGAGAGGAGGCAGGAGCCACTGCAGCAGGAGGGCTGCTTTGGGAAACAGCGAGGTGCTTGGGAGAAGGTAGGAAATGGTGAAATTCATTGGCTTCCAGCCTTGTCCTGAGTTCATCCCTGCGGTGAATGTTCTCCCTCTCCCTGTAGCTTGTACTGATGTGAGGCAGATTGGAGGCTGCTAATTAGGGCAAGCAGCCTCCTGCTTTGTGAGCCCCCCTGTGTCTTTGTCAGAGAGCAGAGGTCTGCAGTGCTCAGGATCACAGGCTAAATAAAGATGTGTAAAAGCAGGGGCCAGTACTGGAAGGGACCTTCCTCAGGGACCAGCAGCCCCCTTAGCATCTGAAATGTATTAAATGGTTTAGCTGTGTGGTTGGGGCTGATGCTGTTTTACAGCCGTGGGAAGGGCTGGCTCTTTCTTTCCCTTCGATGTCATGGTTTGATGCTTGGTAGGAAATGGATGAAGGGCATCATCCCCTGCACACTATCCACTGACCTATTGATCGGACGGAGAAGCGAAGGGGGACCGGTCCCGCTGTCAGCTCTGCAGAGTCATTGAAGTCGTGTTTGTACCTCTGGAGTGTCAGTCACGATCTTGCCCTCTCTTTGAGTTTCCTCTTCCAGCCTCATCAGCATCTCCCTGTACATTGGGAAATTTCATGCCCAGAGAGGGAATCACTTGAAAATTAATTTTCTCTTTGGTTCAGCTGCCCGGCCCCCTTCATAGTTATTAAGTGCAAGTCCAGAGGGAGAGAATGAATCCTCTTCAGAGCGCTATGTGTAATTTCAGTTCTTTTCTGTTTTGTTTTGTTTTTTTTGGTAATGAATTTGTATATTCATGTATGTCTCCAAAGGACAGTGCAATTACTATCTGCTTCACCGTATTGGCACGATGTGTTCCTTTGCATAATAGTTTCTGGTGCCACAAGTGTTCCCTGGAAAAGAGAAGCAGGTTTTCCCTGTTGAAACAGATTCTTGTGGACTCACTTTTCCATCCCTGTTTGGATCCGCCTGGAGCCAGGAGGCCTGGACAGCCTGATGTTCACAGTGCTGCTCTCACCCGGGCAAGGTCTGTGCTCATCAGGAGCTCTGATCCCAGCCCTGAGCAACTGGGTGCCCCAGGGCAGGTATTGACTCTCCTGGGAAGCACCTCCCCATGCTTTCCTGGTCCTCTGGGCTCCGAGCCACAGAGAAGGCAGGAGAGGGCAATGCTCCAGCCCTGCGGTTAGGGCTCTCATGGAGCTGTGGGAAATCTGCCACTGGTAGAGGCTGGCATTCTTACCTACTGTGACCTGAATGTATTCCCACGTTTGTATTTCCAGAATGAGATTTGATCTTTGGTTATTATGGGATTAGTGGGTTTATTAGGTTGGATTTTGGCCAAAGCTCACACCTCTTTGAGCCGGGGGAGGGGACAGAGAACAGAGATTTCCCCTATTACACATCTGTCCCTCACTTCTGTTGATTCAAACACCTCTAATGTCACCATGGCTGGGGACTGAGAGCCTCAGTTTGGCAGAGACCACCCTCCTGGAAGAGCTGAGTAAAACTTCATCCTGGGGAGCTGCTTTTGCTGGTGATGCAGCCGTGCAGTGCAAACTGGAAGAGACTTGCCTGTTCCAGCATCCCGCACCATAAAGCTCTTCTTCCAGAGCTGTGGAGTCAGCAGACATCGAAGGATCTGCAGTCCCTGCCTGTTTTCCCCCACTGTATTTAAGAGAGCTTCGTGTGACTCCCGAGGAGGCGGTGATACCTGGGGCTAGCCAGATGGAGAAAGGGATCTCTGACTTGAGCTGGGTCTCACCAGTTGAACCACAGCATCTCATGGTGATGAGAGCGTGGTCCACCTCCGGTAGTTCTTCTGCTGCCACAGAATTGCTCACCCCTGCATCCTCCAGGTAGTTACCACAGCTGTAAATAAGCTCATGTAAATATGAGCCCACTTTACAAGCAGGAGGGCAGAGAGCATGGGCTGCTTTGGTAGCCCAACAAAACCAGAGGTGCACTAGGCTTGCTCAGAACATGCCAGGGCAATGAGCTCCAGGGAGCAGAGAGAGGGATAAGGAAGCCAAAGCTTGGAGGAAATACGCCGTGGCTCTGTTTGGGAGCTGTGGTTTGAATCGGTGCCGCTGAAAGCCTTTTTGGTATCGAGGAGTCCCACCTCCGCGCGTGCCGCCGCGGTCGCTGCGGGCCAGGAGTGGATCAGTGATGTGTCTCAGCCGCTGCCTCCTCGCTGGCAGGCTCCTCGATCTGCTGCAGCCGTGCCCGTTGCCGACTGCAGGATAAACGCTGCGCCGAAGCATGGGAAACGCGAGGCGGGTTCGTCCTTCTCGCTGTGTAAGCGACCGCAGTTACTGTAGGAAACGGTGCATGTGTGGGCAGCAAACCTGCTCATGGTCTTTGCTATGCACCCACAGGTTGGCAGGAGAAAAACAAATAATTAGGGGTTCCTCGCTGAGTTGCTAGAAACATGGTGAAGAAGAGATGCCTTTTCAAGAAAAGGAAGATTTTTCTCCAAATTCTGTCGTTCCCACTTAAATTTTTAAAATATAACTTGATAGCTATGCTGCAGTACACTAACTAAAGCTTATCGTGTGGCTAAACTTTGTGTTTGCAGTATAATAGCATCAGAGTAAGAAGTGAACTGTGGAGAGAGATATCTTGGGAAATGATATTTCTCACAGGGGGACCTGTGTGCTAAAATCTTCCCATTCTCCAGTTTGCAGACACTGCAAACTAGCCCGTAAATACCTCTCCAAGTCAGGCACTCTTATTTCTCCTTTGGCAGGAATTACACGGTCACCTATTCTACTCTGTCCTGAGCTTACCTATCATCATAAGAAACTAGTAAAGCCTTGCAAAAGCAGAATTATAGCAGCTCTTGGCATCTTTGGGATTTTCATCTGGGTCAACAGAGCTGAAATACCAGTCCATGACCAAAAAGTCTTGTCTTATGCTTCCTGAGTTATTTCCTCTGTGACTCGTTTCCATGAGTCTTTGCTATGAGCAGAACATGCTGTGCTCAGTGAGACAGAACACATTTTCATTGAGCCTCTGTTTACAGAGGGGTTTGAACTGCATGGTACAACAGCTGACAAGGGAGTTTTGCTTCTTTGCCCCAAAGTGAGGAGTGTGAAGGGGGCCAGGCAGCTGAATTGAAGGGAAGGTGCATTTTTCAATTGATTCCCTCCCCTGTCATGAACTTTTCCAAGCTGATGCAGAAGGGTGAAACAGCATTTGGGGCTCTCAAGAGAGATGGTTATTTCCATCCTTCTCTCTGGTGTATTCCCCTGGGCGTGCTGTGTTTGACGAGGCGAGAGACAGGAGGCAGCTGGCTCGTTGTGTGCAGTGCTTGCCCAAAATGCTGACGTGTCTGCGCGGGATCCTGCTTTGCCCTTGCAAGGTGGGCTGGGGCGTGCTGGCACCAGGAGGACGGGGAGCGCTCTGCACGGTGAGCTTCAGAGCCGAGTCCCCTCTGAGCACGGCATGCGCCGGGCTGGTACTTGGGTCTTGAGGGGGTGACACCCCAGGCTGGCGCCTGTGCCTGCACGTTTGGGGTGTAAGAACTTTGCTGGGGCAAGTTGTGGGGCTCAGGGCAGGTTGAACGTGCCCCCCTGCAGCTGTGACGATGTCGGTGGGAGCAGCTGCCCGCTCCTGTGATAAAACTCTATCCACCGATGTCGTGCACAGAGGACATCAGGATTAGGCCATCCTCGGGATGAAAGTTGAGAGGATGGGGAGCGCTGGGAGGCTGGCTTGATGCTGGGGCTTCTCCCGGCACCTGGCCCTTTGAAGGGGAGCGATGCCCTTGGGGAGCAGCGTCTGGCCCCCACGCAAGGGGAAGCGTCCATATGCCAAGGCTGTGGGGGCCACAGCCGGCCCCGGCGGGGGGCTGGGGAGGCTGGATCAGAGATGGGAGCACACCTCATTGCGCGGGTCCACACGGCTGCAGAGCCTGCTTGCTGTGGGAAGTGCTCTCTGTGCAGAAGAGGGGTGCCAGCATTTAGATTTGGGCCGACTCCCAGAGTGGAATGGCCTGTGCCCAGCCGTGGGGTGAGTGGATAATGTTTCCTTCCTGCTGCACCCCAGTGGCGGGGACTCGGTCAACTGTTCTTTTTCACCTTTCTATCTTGGGCTTGTCCTGTGGAGGCTTGGGTGTAGGTTGTTCCCTTGTTAGCAGGGGATGCGTGTCCGGGCTGGCGGGAGCTGAGCAAGCACAGAGGAGCAGTACTGGTGGGGATTTTGGTGCCTGCACCCCGTGGGAGTGAGAAGGGGCAGGAGTGGGCAGGAGGAGCAGCAGGGGCCCTGCCTGGGATCCCCATCTCCATCTTCTGGGGCCGTGGGGAAGGGAAGGTTTGTGGGAGCTGGTGGGATTCTTGGCTGGGGAAAGCCCAGAGATGCAGAGCTGGAGCTCAGCTTCCCACTGTTGCATCAGATCAGCTTTGCTGCCATCTTCCTCTGGCAGAAAGATTAGTTTTCAAGCATGGATGAAAACCCACTGGCAGCACAGCCACTGGGCAGAGGGCGCTGCTGGCCAAGGTGGTGGGGGGTGTGGGGAGTGATTGTGGTGTCCTTTGTCCACTCCAGCATGAGCCCAGGGCAGTGCTCAGTAGATGAGCATCCCTTCCACTTACCTTTCCTTCCCGGCCAGCTGCAGCTGTGCCAGCAGTCCCAGACACAGCTCTGGGACTGGGCTAGTGGCTCAGCTGTGGTGCAGAGGAACCAGAAAACCATGTGGGGCTCAAGACCCTTCCCACTGCCCCCGCCACCTCAACAGATTCCTGACACCAGCGTTGGAAAGGTTACCCCCATGTACTTTTGTGCTGAGCTTCTGGAATTCAGGATCCTCAGTTCTTCCATGTGTTAGAGAGAAACACAGTAGGAATTGGAAATATTTGACCTTAATAATATGGTAGCACTGCTGGACTGTATTTTGGACATGAAAGGGGGAGTTCATGGTGCTCGGGTGGGTGAAGGCAGCCTGGCTCCTGGTCTGTGCTGCAGCCTTGGGAACGCATGAGGACACCATGAGGAAGGCAGAGGTGACTGATCCAGTCTGTCGTCTTGCCTTGTCAAGGAAAGGGGTTGACCTCTTCTGGAGCAACCAGCCCTCCTGTGTCATGTGGAGACTTCTTCCTTGGCCTCCCATTTCCAGTCCTGTCTCTCATAACGCTCCCAGTGGTGTCCCAGGGTTTCTGTGTCCCTTGAGGAGCTGGGCATGGGGGGCTGGCCATGGGGAGAAGTCTGCTGTGACAGCTGGGCAGTGGTTCCCAGCTGCTTCCCCTGTGCAACCTCTGATCCTTTCCTCCTCGTCTGCTGAACTAAGTCAGTTCATTAAAGCAGCAGCAGCAAAGTCAGGTGAATGCTTTTCTGCCCCGTTCAGTGAGCTGAATCGGCTCCCTGAAGTACCAAATGACCTTTGTACCAAAACTGCAAAAAGCAAATTCAGTTGTCTGGTTCCCACCAGCTCATCGTCTGTACTCGGTGCCAAGATCAGAAATTGCCTCCTGTAGTAAAACTGCTGCAGTGCAGCCGCCCCTGGACCTTCTCCTCCTCAGCTCCTCTCCCGCAGACCGGGGGGGGTCCTGCTGCTCTGACTGCTGGCCGGAGCTGGAGCAGACCCCTTCCCTGTGCTGGCAGCTGCAGGCAGTGCATTGGGAAAGGACGGCTTTGCTGCAGCGCTCTAGATGTGCGCGGCCTCCAGCCTGGCGCGCCGGGGCTCAGCTGTCGACCAGCTGTACCCAGACAGGGCCCGAGTTCACAGCACGGCCCGCGGTTGTGTTGCCAGCCTGATCGGGCACGTCTTTATTAGGGTGATGGTAGATAGGCACAGAAGTAACCCGGGGTGTAAATGTAAAGCAGTTTACTTCTTTCGGCGTGTTGGAATTGACTTGGCCTCCCCGCAGCAGCACAGGAGCTGGCCCTGGGTCACCGCTGCCGCCGCAGCTCTGCGCGGAGCAAGGCGGCGTTTCAGACCCTCCTCCTGCAGCAGGAGCTGTGCCCCGCCGGGGGGATGCTTTGACTGCACAGCTCTCGTCGGCCCACAGGAATATCTTTTGCACGTACTCGGCACCGTGCTCCTGGTACTCGCCCTTCGCCACCCACACGTGCTGGAAGGATGTGAGCGATGCTGCCATTGAGCCCCCGGCCCAGGCTGCTGCGCCCCTCTGCGGGCTCGCCTGGACCTCAGTGTGGTGGCCTGTGCTGTGGAACAGGGAGTTCAACTCTAAGCGCGCCTCAGGAAAGCCAGGAAACATTGAGGAGCCCCCTGACAGCACGATGTTACCCACCGTGTCCCTCCTGGCACGGTCGGGTACCTTCTGGAGGCTCTTCAAGGCCAAGTGGTGGAGCCCTGGGGAGCTTTGGTGGAGTAGCTTTGACTGGAAGAGCGGCTCCAGGCAGCAGAACTGTTCCTTGTCCAGGGTTATCCAGTGCCCATCGGGGACCTGAAATCTGGCTGGCTGATGGTAACCTGGGCCGTGGAGGTCTCCTCCATAGTCCATGGAGGTATAGCGGCATTGCTTCGTCAGCAGGATCACTGTCTTCTTCAAGGCCTTCAGCACTGAGGGGTGGTTGGGGCTCTCTGTCAGCAGCCTGGGCAGGGGGCTGGAGAGGAAGCCACCGGGCACCCCGAGGCAGTAGGTCCCCTCCCTCCGGGTCCGGCCCAGGCAGATGGAGGTGACGTGGGACACTCCTGCCCCAGCCTCCACGGCCAGACCGGTGACTGCCATAGGCACAGAGGGAGAGGAACCCCCCGTGTTAGCCATGTGCAGGGCTGGCACCCTGAAACTCTGAAAAAGCACCTCCGCCCCCTTTTCCCTGTTGGTGGAGGGGCGAGACAGGGTGTCAGCCGTGAGCGCTGGCTGTTCCTCTGGGAGAGCTTTCAGGCCGCAGAAGAAGAAGAGGTGTCTCCACAGGTTTTCCATGCCCTTGCAGTCCTCAACGATGCTGTGCTTGAGTGGGTAAGTCCTGGGTGCTAGGGTGAAGCCTGCTGTGCTTTCAGCAGTAGCGGGCTGCTGCTGGGACTCCCACACCGTGCCTGCACTGCAGCAGTGCAGCAGCACGGTCCTCGGCACAAACTTGGGCTGCTTCTGACCTGCAAAGCCTGCCTGGGTGAAGCTGCTGGTGGTGTCTGTGATGGCTGCAGGCTCTGGCATGACTGACGCCCCTGAGGGACGCTGAGAAGGGAGGAAGAGCCTCACCCTGCAGTGGAAAAACAGGAGTCTGGCAGGGACAAACGAGGCATGGGTACCTGCTCTGCAAGGGAGACTGTGGCTCAGCCCCAGCGGAGGACAACTCTGCCTGCTCTGCAAGTGTCTGTCTCGATATGTGCCTCAGACTTTCCTCCTGTCTCTTCGCTCCATTCCTTGCTTAGCATCACTCTTCAGGTACCTTGTCTCCATCCCTGGGGGCGTGGAGATTTTCCCCAGGCCCTTGGCATGTCTAACAGTGCAAGGATAAAACTCCAGGTGGTTTTAAGAAAGCAAGTGAAAACTGGATGGGGAAGTAGAGGAGTTGGACCATGCTGCAGGAGGGAATGATGCTGCCAGTAGAAGCCATAGCACATGGAAGGGAGCCGTGCTCCAGGCTCCGGCTGTTCATTACACCCAGATTCTTGCCCAGGAGGATCTGTGATCATAGCTGGAAAATGAAGGAGGGAGTTTGAGGTGCCTGCGTGTGTTCCCAGGCACTTCCCTGCCTATCCATGCTTCTCAGACGTGCCCTGGGGCAGGGCGTGCATCCTGACCCGCTGTTTGAGTGCCCTCTGGGCCATCTTGCCAGGATGCACAGTGGCCCCTTCGTTCTCCCCAGCACTTCTTGTGTGCCCCCCTGGACCCGCCTTTACACCCCCCCAGCACTAATGCCTGTGGTGCTCGGGCAGGAGGGTGGTGAGGAAAGGGCATACAGCCCCTTGTTCCCGCCGGCCACCCCTCCAGTGCCGAGGGGCAGGTAGGCTGGGGCTCGCAGGGGCAGGCTGTCATGCTCAGCAGGTGACATGGGGACAGGCTGCAGGGTGGCCCTGAGCGCAAGCACACATCGCAGATTGAGCAGGGATCTTGTCCTGTCGGAGCAGAGAGGCTCAGCGTTGTCTTCCCAGGGAGAGAGGGCATGAAACCAACCCGCTGCCCTGTCCTGCCAGTGTTGGGGTGCTCCCTGGAAGGGGCTGACTGCCCCTGGGGGGCTGCTGCAGGCTCTCAGCCTCCTTGTCCCAGCAGCCCGGGTGCAAGCAGAGCAGCGTGTCAACCGTTGGGTGCAGCAAGGGATGCTCTGCCTGCCCTGGAGCTGGGGGGCTATTTCTGCAAGCGGCTCTTACCTTGCGGTTCGGGGGTGTCCATCTGCAGTCCTCCACGGCTCCTGGGGCCAGGATGGGGCTGTCACGCTGTGTGTTCCCCGGGGCGACCTCACAGGCATGCACCCAGAGGATGCCTGTGTCCTACAGTGTCGTCATTCCTGACAAGAACTAAAAATATAATTGGAATCCACCCCGTTGGGTTTATTTAAGGGCCAAAGCCCTTCCAGATGTGGCTCTGCTCCCCCCTCTCAGAGCAGGAAGCATCCGAAAGATCCTCTCCCCTTCCCTGCAGAGGTATGAGACCTCCTCAAAGATGGAGCAGTTCCTGACCCGTTTCCTGCTGCGGGAAACCATGCACCAGCTGCAGTCCCTGCAGGCCTCGCTCGAGTGTGCCGTGGACACCGTGGAGGAGCAGGCGGGACGGGAGAGGTAATGAGGTGGGACGTGGGGAGGAACGCGGGGCAGGACTCGCGCGTCTCCCTGGGAGGGACATCTGGGGGCAGGATCCCCCCTTTCCAAGCCCCCTGTGAAGCTGACCCCTACAGTGAACGACTTCAGCCCCTCCTTCCGCATTTTATTCTTTCAGAAAGGACATAAAGAAATCTGAGACCTCGCTTGGCCTGAGGTCAGGGAGACGATGTGGGCGCAGAGGACAGAAGAACGTCTCTCTGTCCCCGACGGACCCTTATTCTGGGATGCTAACGACAGGTATCTGCAGCCTGGCCGCCCCTTGGGTTGGTGTCTCTGCCCCAGTGGAGCCTGGAGCGGGTGGGGGAGCGGCAGCGGGGGCTCGTCTGGGACGGAGCTTGGAGCATCGCACCCAGGGGCCAGCTGGAGCTTCTGTGGGATGCTGTATCTCATGAGCAGTGGGAAAAGTTTCGGGAGAAAAACAAATCATTTTTTTGGTTTAAATCAGTTTAGAAGCTTCTGCAGTTTTCTGGGTCTTGAGCAAGCTTTTGCAATGGCAAAAGTAAGGATTTTCAGTGACACCTCTCCGCCCTTCCCCATGCAGGTATTTGTGTCGAAGACAACAGCCAGTGGATGGCACAGATCAACAGGCTCCAGCAGCTCATCGAGAAACTAGAGTGCAAGGTGTGTGGTGGAGGGGGAGGTGGGCTGGGGGCTGCCCCGCACCTCGGCACCGGCCGGATCGGTGCTGGGACCTCTCCCCGTGCCAGTGGCGCTGGGCTCTGGTCCTGGCGTGGTTACAGAGCTGCACCCACTCACCAGACACAGACTTGCAAAGCTGCTCACCCCTTTCCGTCTCCAAAGCCCCCGCTCCTCCCCTCAGCTCTGCTGCCCCTCCTCTGGCTTCTCCGTGTTCTGTGCTGACCTGACAAGTCAGTCTGGACCCGCTGAGCCCCGCAGATGTGCAGCTCACATCCCTCTTCTCCCCCAGGTACCCCAAGCAGCGTCCCCAGAGCGGTACCCATCTGTCAGGCTGAGCTGGGCTGGGCTGTGGGTCGCTGCCACGTTTTACCTTGTTGCAGAGTTCTCCCAGTAATGATGATGTTTCCTGTGGTGTTAAATGCAGAGCCCGCGCCTGGAGCCGCTGAAGGAGGAAGCGATGTGCAAAGGACGAGATGCAGTAAGTCCCTGTCCCGCTGCTTGTTGTTTGCAGGTAACCCCGTAGCGTGCACAGATCCCCTCACACACACACACACACGTGTGCTTGTGCAGCCCCTGTGCCCCGAGACTGGGTGAGCTGCTGGCTCTGGTCTGGTCGAGGGTTCTGCTGCCCGGTGATGTAGCAGGGTGGGAGTCAGAGCTGTGAGCTGGGCGTGGGACCATCCACAGGACAAAGGCGGCTCCATCAGGTCCCTGAAAGCCCCGGGCAGCACCCCGCGGCCAGCCCGGAGGAAGGCAACGCTCCTCTTGTGAGGGCCCAAGCCCCCCAGGTTTGCTCCCAGCACCTGCGGACCATGCGGAGCCCCAGCGGAGGGGTCCCGAGGCCCCTTTCTGCTGGGGGAAGGACGCAGGGAACTGCGGCAGCCCCAAAGCAGGACCCCAAAACCGGGGGATGGAGCATCTCCTGTTGGTGCAGGCCTTGCTGCGAAGGCAGCCCGCCCAGGTAGGAAGAAGCCATTTCACGCTGGCGCTGTCCCCAGCGTGCGGCGCCAGCCTCTTCTCGGGGTTCCCCTGCTGGCCTGCGCTTGCTTGGCGCTGCCTTGGCCCGCAGCAGGGAGAGGGCAGGAGGGGACGGATTAGTCTCATATGCTGCTCACCCACTGTCCCTTTGCAGCACATCCTGGTGGCGAAGAGGCAGATCTCGGTGGCGACGAGCAGCATTGAGGAGTTTCGCCAGGCGTTCAGGTCCTACACGGAGGTCACGGCCGGGCAGAGCAGCTGCCTGCAGTAAGCGGGGCAGGCGGCGGGGTGGTTGGTGGCGCGGCTCACCTGGAAATAGGGGCTTTCCACACGGCGCCCTTTCGGGGGGCAAAAGGGGTTTTTGCGGGGTGTGCTGGTCAGTGCAAGGGTGGGCTTGGTGCGCTGAGGTTTGGCCTTGCGTAGAGGATGGGACAGCGTCACAGCTGCAGCAGCGTCCGCCTGCGGTAGCGTCCCATCTCCTGCTGCAGGTACTCCCAGGGAGAACCCCTTGGCAGCGTCTGGCGGGGAGGGGGGTGGTTTGTATGGCAGCAGGGCACGGCTGGGGCACGCGCCGGTCGGTGAATCCACACGTCCCTCCAGCGCTGAGGGACCTGAAAGTGACGGGGGAAAGTCAAGGCGAGAGCTCGCGTCAGAGCGTGGCGTTACATACAGGGTGGGAGGTGCTGGTGGGAAGCAGCCGTGAGCACCCCCGCGAGAGCCAGGCTCTGCCCCCAGCACCGCTCCGCGGCTCCGAACGGAGCCGAGGATGGAGCCCAGCTCTGGCTCCAGCGACACGCCACTGCCGGCCTGGCCCTGGGGATTGCACAGCTGCTCTTTGAGAGGCGCTTGCCTTCTCCCGCGGGAGATTTCAAGCAGCTTTCAGTGGGAAATGTTCGTGCTGTTCTCATTTAAAGTGTCATTTTTCAGCTCTTCGGTTCCAACAGCACAAAATTGCATTTTCAGTCCAGACAAAAGGAAGATACTTATTTTGACACGTGTGGCAGACAGAATGGTAGTTTTTTTTCTCTGGTGCTGATGGGCTTTTCTGTCACGAGAACTATTAGTGTAGACAACTGAGTAGCATTGCATGGGCAGGCTCTCCATGTGAGTGGAGAGCTGGAGCGAAGCCTGGGGACACGCTGCTGTCCTGCTTCGCGCCGGGGAATCGCGGCGCGCAGGGGACGCAGCCTCCGAGCTTTGCTTTGCTCTGCCCACCCCCCCTACTCCTCCTCCCCCCCACCAGGGCTTGGTCCCTTCCTGCAGCCCTTCGCCGCAGCTGGAGGCAACTTTCATCCTTAGCCAGAATAAATGATGCTGCAGCTGAGTGCAGATGCTCCCCCAGACCCTGCACCCCGAGCCTTGCTCTCTCGCCTCCCTGCTGCTTCCCCGCTCCATCTTCCCATGGGCTGGGGAAGGCCCCAGCCCCGTCCTCTGGCAGGAGGGAGCGTGGGAAGCATCGCCTGGCGAGGCAGCGTCGCTTCAGGGTGCCGGGAGCTGGGGTTTTGTGCTGTGCTCTCGGCTCCTTGCACTCGGTGCCTCCATTTCGCTCCGGGGCCCGGCTGCACGGTGCCGGCTGGCCAGGCCCCGTCTCAGGGTCGCTCTTGTCCCCACAGCGTGTCTGCCTGCAAGCTGGCGGACGAGGCCTGCTTCATCCTTTACGAATTCTGGCAGGATGTGACTTCGTGGAGAAGGTTGGAGGCTTCCCTCGTGCGGGGCTGGGTGGTGGTGGTGGGGTGCTAAAAAAGGGGTTTCCTCTCGGCTGCTCCCTCACCCTGCGCAGCCTGTCCTGTGCTGGGTGCTCAGCCCGCTGTGCCCGTTTGCAGCGGAAAGGGGGTGAGCGCCTCGCTGGGGGGTTTGGGGAGCAGGGCAGGAGGGGATGTCCTGCTCTGGATGTCCTGCACCGCGTGGCACGCACAAGCCCTGCGCCCCCCTGACCCCGCACGCTGCTTTACAGCCACTTGCAGTCCAGCTGCAGCAAGACCTTCCAGCGGTCCATCATCAGCTTGCTGGAGTCCCCGGAGCTGCTGACCACCATGCTCTTCCCAGGTGAGGGGGGCTGGGGGGCCCCCACAGTCCCATGCTCCTGCTCTGGGTGCTGTGCAGAGGACAGGAGCAGTGTGGGGAACAGGGGCCTCGGTCCCTCCAGAGCACAGGTTTGGGGAGGGGTGACTGAAATTGTGGTTTTCAAACCCAAGTGAGACCCGTTTCCCAGGGCAGGTTTGGAGGGGGGGGTTGCTCTGCAGCCAGGACAGCCAAGCAGCGGGGGGCACTTCCCAGGTAGCAGATAAGCTCAGCCCTGTCTTGAATACACCTGAGGCCTCATTTTTTTTTTTTTTTTCCACCTGGGTCCTGAACCTGCTCCCAGTGCCTGCCTCCAGGTTTACAGTGGAGTTGAGTGGTGCTGAGGCGGCGGGGGGGGGAGACCCACTCAGGGAAAATGCACGTTCCCCACGGGACCAACAGAAATCTGACCGAGACGTGAGGAACTGGGAGAGCTCGGTGACAGCTAAAACCAAATTAAGCCCCGGTTTTCTATTGCTTTTGGGTCTTGTTTAAAATAACATGAAATGTGGATTCATCTGAAATGCCACGCTGCTGGTGCTCCTCCCGACGGGCTGGTCCCGCTGACAGCGTTCCCTGTGCCCCCCCCACACAGTCCCTGCAGCTCAAGCAGATCTCCCCTCTCGGGCCGTGCCCTGGCCACGCTCCCCGCCCCAGGGTGGTGGGTGCTCTGGAGCCGGGGTCCCCCAGAACGGGCTCAGCTGCCCCTGTCTCTGCCACCCCAAAACCCCTGCCCTGGTTAACGCTGCCTGCCCGGCCCTCAGCCCTTCCCCTCTCCCTCCCCAGCTTCCTGGTGGATCATGAACAGCAACTGACCCTGGGCAGCCGCCTCCAGGACGCCGTCGGCATGCGAAGGACGCGGAGCCCCCGGCACAGCCGTCGCCTTCCCTCGCCTTCGTCACCTCCCGGCCCCTCTCCCCTCCTGCCGTCCGGCGGGGGCTGCCTGCCCGGCGGCCCTGGCAGTGTTTTACCCTTTTGCTCTTTTCCTGCGAATTTATTTATTCCCCCCCACCATGACGGTCTCCGTGCTGCCCGGGGAGGGAGCGGGGCACTCCCAGCGGCGCTGGTGGGAGCCACGTCTGGGGGGTGGCAGCCTGGCCCTGGGGGGGAGCACTGGTCTGGTTGCAGCGGCCTGGCAGCCCGCTGGCACCCCGGCTCCTCTTCCTCCCCGTGCTCTTCTTCCTCCTGGCTCTGAGGACAGGCTGAAGCGCCACGGGGTGCGGGGACGGGCTGGGGGGACACGGCTCTGGCCAGCTGTGGCATCCCCTGCCTGGCCCGCCAGAGCCACCCTGGGCCAGCAGCGCCTCTGCCCAGGGAGCCAGGCCGCCTCGTGGGGACTGTGAACAGTGTCTTGTGGGAAAAAAAAAAAAAAAAAAAAATTTCATTAAGCATTTCTGGCAGGGTGTGGCAGGGCCAGCCCTGGCCATGCCAGCAGCCTGTGCTGCCACTGCCATGGCTTTGAGAGTGGGCTTGTGCCCCCACCCCAGCCGTGCACGTCCCCCCCCCCGTGAGCCGCTGCACAGCTCCCGCGGAAGGCGAGCGTGGCTGACAGCGCTGTCGCTTCGTCCTGCGGCTCAATTAACATAAACCAGCGCCAGTTGCAGTGCCCTCAGAGGGAGGTTGTAGCGGAATTAATGGCGTGAGGCTGGCAGGGAGCAAAGCCCGCCTGCTCCGTGGGTCGCACGCCCGGGGTTCCTGTGTTGGTGCTGCAGCAGCAGCTCCTCCGCTGACGCGGGGCAAGCGCTGCCCAGGGACCCGCAGGCAAATGCCCCCTGGCATGGAAACCAGCCCTGGCCTCGCGCCCTGCCTGGCTCACCAGGGGTGCCCGCTCCCCAGCCCTCCCTTGCTGGGGTACCTGCCCAGGCTCTTCTGCTCCCCCGTGGGTGCTGCTCCCCAACAGCACCCCCAGAAACATTAATGTGTCTGTTTCTTCCCCGATCCCTGGGTGCAGTAATTAAAATTCTGTGGCTGCAGGGGCAGTGGGTACAGCTCCATCCCCGGGGGCACGTCCTGGCACGTGTCTGGCACCGTGTTGCCCCCAGCCCCAGTACTGTGGGGCCACAGGAAGGGGGTGGGGGGCTGGGTTTGGGGGGGGGGGGGGCTTGCAGGAGCTTCCTAGGGGCTCCTTGCATTTGGGGTGCAGGGAGGGTGACCTGGAGCGATCAGCAGAGATGGGCTCAGGAAAATGCCTCGTTGAGGGCGGGGGGGAAAAGCAGCCACTGCTGGCAGCTCCGGTGGGCACCGTCACACCCATCCCCGGGCCCCGAACAGCAGGGGGGGCTCCCGGGGACGGGGGTGAGTGCTGAGCCTGACCCCAGCCAGCACCAAATTCACCTAATTATTGAGAACTGCTGCTTTCCCTGGCCAAAGCCACAATTCGCCGTGACCGCGGGGCAGCGGCTCCAGCCCAGGGCTCGGGCACCCACAGATGAGGGGAGCGGGAAGGGCCGGGGGGGCAGGAGCTGCGCCCCAGGGCCAGCGGGAAGGGAGGAGCTGTGCGCCCACAAACGAACAGCAGAGCTGCAGCGGGGCACAGCTTTGGGCCTCTGGATGCCCGAGCTGCCGGCTGGGCTAGCTGCAGGGCCACCACGGCCTCCCCAGACTCGGGGGCGGGCGGGGGGGGGGGGGTTGGCCCCCACTGCTGGATTTCTTAACCACCGGATTAGCGGTTGTAGGAGCCTGGAGACTGAAATCCTCGGATTAGGCAAAGGTGGGCGCAGTGGGCAGCCTCAGGTGGCTGGGGGGGGGGGGGCGGGACAGGGCTGTTCCGTACTCAAAAAACCAACAAACCCAAAAAACTAAGACCCAAACATGAACCCAAAGACATCCAAAATTACCAAGCGAGGGGCTGACTGCCAGCTCTGCCTGCGCTTGCTCCCGGGCTTCGCTCGGGGCTCCCCCCAGGACCTGCAGCAGCAGCAGCACCCCGGGGGGGCGGTTTTCATCCCACAGTCAGGGCCAGCACACCTCTGCTCCTTCAGGGAAAAGAAGGGGAGCTGTATGATGAATATAGTCTTTTTATTGACTACTTTTGAGTAGAACAAACTAAATACATCTGTAACAGTTTGGGTTCCTTTATACAGTACATTAAATAAGTTATGCACAGGAATGAAGTAACAAATTTCTATTACAGAATTAAATGTCGAAAAAAATAGAAACCTCAACCCAATGTCTTCCCATGTCCAAATTTCACATTTATCATTCCATGTTTAAAAAAAAAAAAAAAAAAAAAGCAATCGTTCTAATCATGACTGTTAGTATTTCATTCATTTACACTGGGGTTAATTTTAATACACGGCCATCAAAGTTGCATGAGAATTATGGAAGACAATCTATTTACAAGCAATTTCTTCCAGCCCAGCCCCACCCTGCTCTTTCAGCATCCGTCCCGGCGGCAGGCGGCCCCCCCCGACCCCCGCGGACCGGGGCGTCCCGACCAGCCCTTAGTTACCTGAGGCTGCTCCGAATTTGCACGTGTCCCCTCAGGGCGGGAGACCCCTTCAGCCCCCCTGGGGGAGGAGGGGGGGCAAGGGCACCCCCCGGCCCTGCTGCTCTCACAAGCCCGCAGCCTCGGCCGCTCCTGCCCGCCGCCGCCCTGGGCGCAGCGACGCTCGGCCTTTGCGAAGGGGCTGCCGCAGTTCGGCGTCACTGCTGGGGTGAACACCTCCGGGGAGGGGGTGACACCTTCCCCCGGGTGCTGGGGGGGTTGAGTGTCACCCCCGTTGGGAGCTGCCCTCGCCTCCGGCGCGCTCGGTGCCCCCAGCCGGGAGCCCGGCGCCCTGGCCCCCGGGGGGACAAGCCCCACCTGCCACCCCAGAGCTGTCTTCAAACACCCAGCGACCTCGTGGCTTTTTTTGCATAATAAAACCTTGCAGACACGGGAATCACCCACTCCACCCCATGACAGCAGCTTCCCAAACAGCCTTCCCTAAGGGGCAAAGCTGGTTCAGCGGGTTGCTGGTTTATCCCCAGCAGCCAGCTCCACCACTGCAGGCTCCGTGACGTTTCATTACATCTCTATTATTTGCCTCCAACCGAAAAAGTGATCAAAAATAATTTGGGAATTACTCGCCTCGTTGGGCTCCGGCCCAGCAATCGCACAAAAGCAGTCACGGAAACACGGCTTTGCTGAACAGGCGGGTTTTCTCGAGCCTCTTTGTGTGCAGCGTGGGCAGGCGGCGCGGCCCCCCGCAGGGCACGCGCCCGGGCTGCGCTCCCATCACCTCCGCGAAGCCCCCGAGACGGGCCCGGCTGCACCCCGAAACAGCCCCCCCGGGGGGCGGTGCTGCTGACGGGGGTCCGCGCCGCCCCGAACCCCCCTGCCCCACCGCAGCAGGGACGCTCCGAGCGCCGGATGGCCCCGGGTTGGCCCCGGCGTCCCCGCGGCACCTCGCTCGCTGCCGTTTCGGGACGGTCTCCGAGGGTGGGACAAGGCAGCGGTGCCCGCGCCTCCCGGGGCAGCTCAGCCGGTGTCCGAGCGGCACCACGGGAGCCCCCCAGGGCTGGGGGGGCAGGGGGGGCAAGAACCGACGCAGGACGCCGCGTCCTGCATTTATTTGAATAGTTTGGCCAACGGGTGCGAAGAGAACAGACTGTAAATAACCCATCGCAATCGTGTGAAGATCTCTGTGGTTAAAAACAACGGCAGGAACTCTCAAACCAACAACTTCCATGCAGTGAAAAAACACACTTTCTGCATAGCAAAATAATGGTACCCAGGTGGAAAGGGCAATAACCGCCTCCGACCAGGCCAGATTTGCTCTGCGCTGTCCCCCAGAGGCCCCACCCAGGGTAACGTGCAGCTGTCTGTCCCGTCACAGAACGGGGTTAAAACCGGGCAGTGGCCAGCCGTACTTCCCGGGTACTGACATTTGGTTTAGAGAATCCTCTCCCCTCTTTCTGCAATCCTCAGCTGCCAGCCTGGCAGGCAGGAGAAAGAGAAGAGGGCTCGGCCTTTGCCATTGCACTAGAGGGATGAGACGCTCCTGCCGGGAAACCGGCTCTGGTCGGTTCACAGCAAGAGCCGGCCAGCACGGCCATCTGAGACACCGCTGTCCGGGAGCAAGGAGGAAAAAAAATAAAAAAATAGAGAGATGCGTATTATGGAAGAAAGGTAGCTGAAGGAGGCGGCGGCTCACACACCTCAGGGAAGGAGCTCGAGCACATCTGACCCGTGAGGACGGGGCTCAGCATCTCCTGCGTGTGCCGGCAGCGCTCCCCACCGAGCCCCGGACCCCCGAGCGAGTGCCCGGCCTCCTCCAGGACCTGAGCTGCTCTGGGAGCTCCCTGCAGAGACGGGCCCCGAGGCACCGCGGGCAGGACCGGCCCCAGTTCTTCACGAGCCACGACAGAAAACAGGCAGAACGAGACGGCAAAGCCCGAGTGTTGTCGCTCCTCGGAGGCGGCGCGATGTGTCAGGTGTGTCAAGTGATACAAGCTGCTGTGGGCTTCTTTTTTTTTTTTTTTTTTTTTTTTTCCTTTTTCCCTCCTTTTTTTCCTGCTTAAAAAAACCCAGGGAAACGAATCAAGTGGACCGAACCAACACTTCCCCTTTAGAGCCCGTTCGTATCTATTGCTGTCACGGATGCCGGGGTGGAGGACCGCGAGGTGGTCGCCGAAGTCTTCTCGAGCGCCGGGCTGGGCACGCCGTCCAGGCTTTTGGTGGCGGCTGCCGCCGATCGGCCCGTGGGCAGAGCCAGCGGCTTGCTCTGGCCGTGCAGGCCTTGGCCGCAGATTCGGTGGTGCCTCTCCCAGTCCTTGTGCTGGCAGAAGGAGCCGCAGTACCGGGCGATGTTGCAGCCGCTGCACGTCTCGCTGGCTTTGCGACCGCAGTTCCAGCAACTCTGCAAGACCAAAGACGCCACACTTCAAAACGGGTTTGGTTTCCAAGAGCTGCGGGACAGTGCTGACTCAACAGCTCTGGAGGGGACTGTTCATCCCCCTCTGGCCTGGATTTAGTAATATTAAAATGAGCAATCCATTAATTCCTGCTATTTCACAGCCCTTTGCCAAGG